AAGAGAGAATATTCAAAGCAGCAATAGAAAGGCAGTTACTTACTTACAACGAAGCTCCCATAAGGCTGTCAGATGATTTCTCAAAAAAAACTTTGCAGGCCAGAAGGGAGTGGCAAGAAATATTTAAAGTGATGAAAAGCAAGAACCTACCACCAAGATTACTCTATCCTGCAAAGCGATCATTTAGAATCGATGGCCATATAAAGTTTCCCAGACAATAAAAAGCTAAAGTTGTTCACCACCATCAAACCAGTATTATATAAAATGTTGACAGGTCTTCTTGAAGAAGATAAAAAAAATATGAAAAATAAAATAGCAATAAATACATATCTATCAACAATTGAATCTACAAACAAAATGAGCAAGCAGAACAGAAACAGAGAACTTTTTGTTGGTTGCCAGATGGGAGCGGAGTTGGGTGGAAAAGATGAAGGTATTAAGAAGTACAAATTGGCTGTTAGACTGATGAACCTCAAAGGGAAGAGGGGAGAGAGGGTAGGAAGAGAGAAACCAAAGAACTTATATGCATATATGCATAACCAATAGACACAGACAATAGTGTGGGGAAGGCAGGAGGTGGGTGGGAGTAGGGAGGAGGAGGGAAAGGGAGGGAAAAAGGAGGGACATCTGTAATACCTTTAACAATAAAGGTAAGTTAAAAAATAAAAAATAAAAAAAAAAGCAAGTGCTGGTGAGGATGTGGAGAAGAGGGAACCCTCATGCACTGTTGGTGGGAATGCAGACTAGTGCAGCCACTGTGGAAAACTATGGAGTTTCCTCAAAAATTTTAAAATGAAATTGCCTTCTTACCTAGCAATTCCACTTTTGGGAATATATCTAGAGAAACCCAAAACACTAATTTGAAAGAATATATGCAACCCTATGTTCACTGCAGCATTATTTACTATATCCAAGGTCTGGAAACAACCCAAGTGCCCATCAGTAGATGAGTGGATAAAAAAGCAGTGGTACATTTACACAATGGAATACTACTCACCATAAAAAGGTAATCTTACTTTTTGTGACAGCATGGATGAACCTGGAGATTATTATGGTAAGTGAAATAAGCCAGTCAGAGAAAGACAAATACCGTATGTGCTCACTTAATGTGGAATCTAATGGATAAACTAATTTAACAAACAAAATAGAAATAGTAGCATAGATACATAGAACAGACTGACAGCTCTCGGGGGGAGGGGATATTGGTGGGCTGGGTGAAAAAAAGTGATTAAGCAAAAAAAATTATATATATAAAAACATAAACAGACAACAGTATGGTGACAGCCAGAGGAAAAGAATGAGGATAGAAGAGGGCAGAGGGGACACACAGGAATGGAGAGCGATTTCACTCTGGCCAATAGGCATATGATGCAGAGTAAGGTTGATGTTTTGTTGAGTTGCACACTTCAAGCCTGTATAATTTTGTTAACCAATGTCAACCCAATAAACTCAATTTTTAAAAATAAGACTGACAACTTTCTTCCAATCAACAAAGTTCAAAGAAAGCAGAATGATACCTTCAGTGTGCTAAAATAAATTTCTAGAAATTACTTAGTGTGCCAATTTAGAAATACACATCACACAAAGATATCCTTCACAGATGAGAATAAACAAATTTTCAGGCAAATAAAGTGAGAGTATCTCAAGTATATTCTCACTAAAAAATATTCTAAATAGTCCTCTTTAAGACAGAAAAGATGTAATATGATTTAAATGAAAGGTCTGGCCCTGGCCAGTTTGGCTCAGCGGTTAAAGCGTCGGCCTGCGGTCTGGAGAGACCCGGGTTCGGTTCCCGCTAAGGGCACGTACTTCGGTTGCAGTTTGTCCCCGGCCCTGGTTGGTCGTGCGGGTGGCAGCCGCTCGATGTGTCCCTTCACGTCGATGTTTCTCTCTCTCTCTCCCTTCCTCACTCTCCCTCCCACTCTATCTGTACAAAAAATGGAAAAATATCCTCGGGTGAGGATAAAAAAAAAAAAAAAAAAATATGAAAGGTCTGATACCAAAAAAAAAAAAAAAAAAGAATTAAGAGCAATAAAAGAAGAAAATACATAGCTAGAAACAAATAAACACTGCATAAATAAAACAGCAATAGTAATGTCCTGTGGATAGAATTAAAATACAAAACAAAAATAGAAGGGGACAGAACTAAATGTAATTAATGTTCTAAAGTCCTTAAATAACCCAAGAAGGTAAATGTATTAACTTTATACATTGAAACCCATGCCTGGATTGCATACTCAGTCCCCAGGAGGGAGCATGCAGGAGGTAGCCAATCGATGTTTCTCACTGACATCAATGTTTCTATCTCTCTCTCTAAAAAAGCAATAAAAACTCCCTGGCCAGTTTGGCTCAGCGGTTAGAGCATCAGTCCGAGGACCAGAGAGTCCCCAGTTTGGTTCCCCTTAAGGGCTCGTACCTCAGTTGCGGTTTATCCCTGGCTCCAGTTGGGGTCGTGTGGGTGGCAACTACTCGATGTGAGAGTCTCTCTCACATCGATGTTTCTCTCTCTCTTCCTCTCTCTCTCTCCCTTCCGCTCTATCTGAAGATAAATACAAAAATGTCCTCGGATGAGGATAAAAAAATGAATAAATAAAAATAAAAAAGCAATAAAAACATATTGAAAAAGAACAGTAATCAGCACTGCCAGTGTGGCTCAGTGGTTGAGCATCGACCCATGCACCAAGAGGTCGCCGGTTCAATTCCCAATTAGGACATATGCCCAGCTTGTGGGCCAAATCCCCAGTAAGGGGCATGCAGGAGGCGGCCAATCCATGTTCTCTCTCATCAATGTTTCTATCTTTCTTTCTCCCTTCCTCTCTCCAAAATCAACAAAGGAGAAAGAAAATTTTAAAAAAGAATCCAGCCCTGGCTGCTGTGACTCAGTTAGTTGGAACATCTACCCATGCACTGAAAGAATGTAGGTTCAATTCCCAGTCAGGGCACATACCCAAGTTGTAGTTCAATCCCAGTGGGAGGCAGCCAATGGATGTTTCGCTCTCCCTCTTTCTCTCCCTCTCCCTTCCTCATTCTCTAAAATCAATAAAAACATATTTTTAAAATAGAGACCATATATTTTTTAAAAAGAGAACAGTAATCAATCCATGTTGTAGTATCTTCTAAAAAAATAGAAACAGATGATATAACTTTCAAAGTGAAGGGTAAATATTGGAACCATAAAATGTAATGACACTAGCACTTCGACTTCTGGGAAGATGGAATAGATATATTTTTCCCTATGCCTCCCAAGTACAACCCAAACTCTCAACGTTATACATAAAACAAATATAAGAAGACTCTGAAAAGCGGAGAGAAGACAGACCAGCTTAGAGGCCTTTAGACCTGAGAAACAAGTGGTGAGACCCCAGCAGGGGCGTGGGGGTGTTTTGTGTTTGCTTGCCTCACATATTCTAGACTTAGAGCTAAAGAAGCCAACAGCGTGGAAAGACCAATCGTCAGAGACCAAGAAAGCTCCAAAAAACGCTCTCTCTAGCAAAAAGGACAAGGAAAAGGGCAGCTTAGCAAGGCTGCAACAGCCAAACACCACAGGAAAAGTAGCCAAGATCATGATGGTGAGATAGAAAGAACATAAAATGTAGGGGAAGTTAAGTGATTTCAATGTATCTAGAGTATAGGATATACTAGTAATGACAGTAACATGAGATGAGCAGGCCTAAATTAGAGAGAACCAGATAATTATTTGCTATGTGAAAAAAGAAAGGGTTTTAAGCCCTGGGCGGTTTGGCTCAGCAGTTGGAGCGTCGGCCCACGGACCAGAGTCCCAGGTTCAGTTCCCGCTAGGGGTATGTACCTCGGCTACAGTTTGTCCCCCCTCCCAGTTGGGGTTGTGTGGATGGCAACCAGTTTATGTGTCTCTCTCACATGGATGTTTCTCTCTCTCTCCCTCCCGCTCTATCTGAAGATAAAAATTTAAAAACGTCCTCGGGTGAGGATAAAAGAAGAAAGGTTTTTAAGAGAAAAGTGACAAATGCCACAAGATCTATGATGTTCTAAAATGTGCAGTGTTTCACAAAGGGTATTATGCTATCAAGTGCCCTGCCACTTGAACAAGTTTGGAAAAAATTCAATAATACGATAGATTAAACATAACATGACATTCAAGATCTTTCTTAATCTGATCCAAACATCCTTTTCCAGTCTCATCTATCTGAATTTTATTTTTATTTATTTATTTATTTATTTTTTATTCTCACCCGAGGACATTTTTCCATTTTTTGTTCAGACAGAGTGGGAGGGAGAAAGAGGAAGAGAGAAAGAGAGAAACATCGATGTGAAAGGGACACATCGAGTGGTCACCACCCATACGACCCATCCAGGGCTGGGGACAAACTGCAACCAAGGTACACACCCTTAGCGGGAACTAAACCCAGGTCTCTCTGGACCGCAGGCCGACGCTCTAACCGCTGAGCCAAACCGGCCAGGGCTATAGATATAGACACACTAATTAGTGTTTCAAATATACCTTAACTTTCACATTTTCATGACTTGCACAGGCCATTTCTTCCGCCTACACTCTCCTTCAATTTACAGACTCATGATCTTTAGTTATCTAAGGTCTAGGTCAACAAACAATTTTTCCCTAATGCCTTTCCAAATGTCTTGCTCCAGAAATAATTAATAATTCCCTCCACTGTGAACTCAGAGTATTCATTCATAAAATATTTAGTAAGTGCCTAATATGTGCTAGGCATTGTTCTTAGAATACATTAGTGAACAAAAGGACATAGGTCCCTGTTTATATGGAACACTTTGTTGAAACTAAAAAATGTGAGAGTATGAAAAGGAAAAAGAGGAGTGTATGTACTTTGCAAAAGCTCCCTACGTGATTCTAATATTATGCTCTCCTTGAACTGGTGCACCCCAGGCTGGAAATTACAGCACTAGAAAGCATTATAACAAAATTATAATGAAAGCCAAAAATTAAAATATAACAACAGGAATACATAAGACATATTGATACATTTTATTATATAAATTCTTACTTATTTTTTCTTCCAATTGATTAACTTTATCTCTGGATTCCTCTAGCAGCAATGTTAACTCTTTTATTTTATGGTCTTTCTCAGTGTTTTGGATCAATAGCAGTGATACCTAAAATTAAGAATTTAAATAACATATTATAGATAGAAAAAATAAAATATGACACCTTAGCATTTATCATCACCTATGATTATTTTATATATTTGTTTATATGCTTTTCAGCTGGCTGTGCCTAGCATTTAGTACATGCTTGCAAAAAAAAAAAAAACTTATTTAAATGAATGAAGAAACTACAGCAGGTCCTTGAAAATGATTATTTCATTCAATATTGTTTGATTATAATTTTGATGAGATGTTGTAGGAACTTAACTTTTGTTTATATCAATTAGCCTATGATAAAACTGGTTTAATTATATATCGTTTTGCTGCAGTTCCAAGAACCTATTAATGACATCAGGTAAGGACTTACTGTAATACAATACACATGATACTACAGTATGCATTTTAACTTATTACTGAGAAGATTGTATAATAAAATCTATTTGGTTCATTTATTCCATAAATACTATTGAGCACCTACACCATTCCAGAAACCATAATAACCAATGAGTACATAGATATGAGAGAACTTACCTTCACAAAAACTCATAACCTAGACTAGGAGACAAACAACTCTACTTGAATATTATTAGTAGCATGACAAAAATGTTATAGGAATCAGGAAAGGAACACCTATATCAGTTTTGGGGGATGTAATAAAAAATCCTTCTTAGAGGACTGAATTGTGAGTATTGACAGACAAAAACTGATCAGGCAAATGGGGAAATAAGCATTCTAGACTCATACAAAGACACAAAGGATCAAAAGATCATGCTTCATACAGAGAAATTAAAATATTCAGATGGCTAAAATACTGAGTGCATGTGAAGAAAAGGTGAAAGATAAACTTATAAAGATAAGCTGAAGACTTTTGCAGATTCAAGATGGCAGAAAAACTTCTTTGTCCTATTTTCACCGCCAAATCACCCAAAAATATAACCAGGAAAACAACAGAAACATACTTCACCTTCCATGAAACCATGAGACCACAATATATAAAGAAAGCAGTTGGAAGGAACAGAAAATGACTTAGCACAGGAAAACAAGGTCAAACAGCCGGTGCAAGGAAGATACTAATGAGTAACAAAGTAAGTCCACCCCAAAGAACCCTAGAATGTTTCAGAATAAGAGACAACAGACACTTTGGAGTGTAGGTATGAAACAGGAGACTAAGTATAAAGAGAATATGTGAAAGTCTGTAAAGAGCAGACCTCCTTACGTTCACCTAACCCTCCTTTCCTAGACTCTACTCCCTAACAGCCAATGTAGTCAGAGAACTAACCCTACTCTACCTTTGAAACAGACAGAGGCAGAATCAAATTGAAAAAGAGAATTTCTAAACCTGGGTAAACCAAGCATAGGGAGGGGTAGGGGTGAAGGATATAACTGAAAAGTCAACACATGGAGTGATGAGACTCAGCCTGTCTTCCTACCCTGCCAATCTAGCTCCAAAATGCCAGCAATCAAGTTTATATCCCCAGGCAAAAATCTGAAGGGAAAAAAAAAGTCTTAAAAATAGTGACATTTAGGAGTCCCCAGCAAAAACACTACCTGCCCACACCATCATTTTAAGGGAACCCCAAAAATCTGTAAGCTCTGCCCATACACCCAAAACTCCAACAAGCTTTTTAAGCACTGCATCCTATTTTTGTGTTCTTTATAGTAAGCGCACTTGTAACATTTAAAAAGGCCTCCTCCACCCTGGCCGGTTTGGCTCAGCGGTTAGAGCCTGTGGTCCTGAGAGACCCAGGTTCAGCTCCCGCTGGAGGGCATGTACCTCGGCTGCAGTTTGTACCCGGCCCTGGTTGGGATGTGTGGGTGGCAACCACTCGACGTGTCCCTATCACGTCGATGTTTCTTTCTCTCTCTCTCTCTCTCTCCCTCCCTCCCTCCCTCCCTCCCACTCTATCTGAACAAAAAATGGAAAAAATGTCCTCGGGTGAGGATAAATATATAAATAAATAAATAAACACCCCCTCCTTTTAAAAATCTGGTTTAAAAATTCATTTAAATATAGAAAATTGCTAATTCAAAGTATCTAAGCATAACACATAAATTAATCTATCATTAAATCGGAACTAAAACTCTATATTCTCTGTAGTTTCAATTAACTTTTGCTACTATTGGTTAAGTAGATATCTTTGTTATCTATCATTACAAGGTATCATGTGACAAATCAGAGAAGAAAAACAAAAAATGGGGAAACAGAGGATTCCTTTCTACATGTTGCTTGCCTTGGGAAGCAAAAGGCTTGAAACTGATAAAGTTGGCATAATAATTATCTGAAACCAACATTCTTGTTAATGTCAAAGAACATAACAGACTCACAATTTTCAAGTCTAACACTATGTAACATTAATAGAAAGAAGAAAAAAATGTTTTGGTCCACCTTCACTGGTGTCGTGAATAGTATATTTCGCAATAAACTATGAAATGTGGGCTGAATGATCAATGGTCACCATCTTTTTATGAGGTTTTTGCTTGAACAAATGTTCTCACAAAAATAAAATATTTTTGCAGTAATGTCCTATTATTCACTAATATTACTCACTAATGTAGAAGATTTATTCATTTATTTTAAAGACAAGCATTCAGCCCTGGCCGGTTTGGCTCAGCGATTGGAGCGTCCACCTGCGGTCCAGAGAGACCCAGGTTTGGTTCCTGCTAAGGGCATGTACCTCAGTTGCAGTTTGTCCCGGCCCTGGTTGGTCGTGTGGGTGGCAGCCACTCAATGTGTCCCTTTCACATTGATGTTTCCCTCTCTCTCTCTCTTCCTCTCTCTCCCTCCCACTCTATCTGTACAAAAAATGGAAAAATGTCCTCGGGTGAAGATTAAATAAATAAATAAATAAGTAAGTAAATAAATAAATAAATAAAATAAAATAAAATAAAAAATAAAGACGAGCATTCATCATGTGTGCATATTTGAGTCAATGGAAACTAATTCTGCTAGGCAAAAGGCTGAATATTTGGATATATAGAATATTAAAATTCTCTTAAGAGAAATTTATCATGCAGTCAGCAAATACAAATTTCTTTTGAAATGTTAAATGTTTTATAAATTAGGAAATATAAAGTACACAGAGTTAATTTTAAAAACACACCTGTTTTTCCTTGTCATTTACTTCCTTCTTGTATTCTTCTTCAAGGTGTTGGATTTTTTCATAATCTTCCTTTACTTTAAAAATAAAACAAATATACTTTAATATATTAATATAATTGTATAACAAAGAAAACTTTAAGTTTCTGATGTTTTAAAACATTGACTGGCTGCCTCCTGCATGCACCCCACTGGGGATGGGGCCCACAACCTGGGCATGTGCCCTGTCCGGGAATCAAACTAGCAACCTCTTGGTGCATAGGTCAATGCTCAACCACTGAGCCATACCAGCCAGACAGTTTCTGGTGTCTTATTTCATGTTCTTATTTAGCTAGATATCAAACCCTAAATGTTTCTGACCAGTAAAAATTGCTGTTTTCTTGCTAATTTTAGTAAAATGGTGATTTTAATATGAAAGTTACAACAACTTAAGAAAATTCTATTTTTATAATAGTGCACATACAAAAGTTGTTTATAACACACTAATTTGAAATAACAGATTTTAAATCATATTGTTATTTTTACATGCAACTTTACCAAGAAATGTAAAAATAAGAACAAATCATACTTCCAAAAATTGAGTACAAACCATAATAAGTTTGATTTCAGGGAAAATGTAGCTTTGAAGCCAAAAATGTATTTTTTATTTTTCTTCAAAAATGTATTTTTAACATATTTCAGTTCCTTGCCGTATTCCACAAGATTCTGAGGAGCTTATAAAACCACATTCAACACAGAAAGTAAGAGAGTTGAGGCATCAAGCTGAAGGTACAAAAACATTAACAGAATCTAATAAAAATATAAACAGTAGAAGAATAACATAAAAATTAAATAGAATCCCTACATTTAAAATGCATTTCTAGTCTGGAATTCTCAGCTTGCACACGAAGTTCCTCAAAAGCTGTTATCATTTTCTGAAATATAAAGTTTAACTATTAAGAATCACACTAGACTTTTTAAATAGCTTTCCTCAAACTATAAAAATATTAATAAATTTGTATCACATGGTCATTAAATTTATTTTTTTGTCATTATATTTAAAACCATACAACTTTGAATAATGAGAACCCTGTAACTTTTAATAATTTCTAAAAGCTTATTGAATGCTTATTGTATTAGCTTCTCAGATGCTTACAGGTACTAGAGACAAGTTATATAATATCAACAGTAGTAAAACGATTGTTAGTAATCTAGTCATTTACTTAATAGCCGTAGTATCAAAATCTGTAATTTATCTTTATTTTTACTTATTTAATATCTGTCTTCCCCACTGAAGCATAATCTTTGTGAGATTTCTTCCCATAGGAGTCTACATTATATGTTCATCATCTGGCAGCATGAGTTCATTCAACTTTCAACAAATCTTGATTTGCAAAACTGGATGAATTCATTTATTCAAATTAGTAGTTACTGAGTGTCTTTTATGTGCCAGGCACTGTGTTTTAGGCACTTAGGATATAAGACCAAGTTCTTATCCTACTGGAACTAACTTATATTCCAATATAAGAAAGAACACACATACACACATATATATACATCAGATAATTGTCATGTATTTTTAAGTGCTCTTCAGAAAAGTTAAGGTGAGGAGATTAATAATTGAATAGAACCATATTTTAGATAAAGTAGTATGGGGTAATAAAAAAGAAGAATGAAGCTTAAGAGTTTGCATAAGATCTTGCACACAAAAGGTCTAGACATAACAAATTCAAAGAAACTAGATCAGAGAGAGCTTAGCAAGTGTGAGAAATATAAAAAAGAGTGACTACCTCAGAGAAGCAAAGTAGAGAATGACAGAGGATGGAATAAGACTGGTTAAGCAGGAACCAGACACATTAAACTACAATGCTTTACAAATTAATGATTGTGTGTCACGATGTGCTAGTGACTGACACAAAGTTAATAAATATTTATAAATTAAGTTAAATGGTGTCACTAACATGTAAATTCAAAATATTAACAAAACATTAATACTCACAGTATAAACCTTAGGAGTTTTATTGGTGATATAATCATGTCAACAAATAAATAATAATCCCTTTAGCAAAAACAGTTTTCTATATCTCTGTAGCTATCTCTACTTTGCTTAGAAATACCTCTGTTTAAAATATTAAAGTTTCACTACCACTTACCTCAATGTTATTATTTAGATCCACATAAACTTGCCTAGTTTCCTCCCGTTCATATTCATCTATTATTAACATAAAATATTTTTAAATTAATTTTTAAAACAATTATGATGCCAACAATACTCAAAATGCCTCAGAAAAACATTAAAATATTTAAAATTCTGTGTTAGAGAAGAGCATTGTTATATCTTTTCAGTCTTTTAAAGTAGCACCAAAAGCAGTTTCATAGAAGGCATGGTTACATACTTCATATCAACCTCAAAAGCTTGCTACCGTTCAATTATCTCTAATTTCCTCCCTTAAAATTATTATCCATAAATTTATTCAAGCTTTGTAAAACACATTTATAATTTTAGCCTTTACAAAGAACAAAGTAGGGATTTAAAACTATTCAATAAAGTATTGTTTTTCCCTTTGTATATTTAAGATTCATGAGGTACACATGTAAGGTAAAGCTTGCTCTTGTCTCTTGTTCTATCTCTAAGGAGGCAGAAAGGAAGATAAACTGCAAGAAAGAAAGAGTTTAAAAATGGCCCCAAAGAGAAATCCCCTATGAATCCCTTATGATCTCTTTCTTTTGCTCTTGCATGCGCACGCGCGCGCGCTCTCTCTCTCTCTCTCTCTCTCTCTCTCTCTCTCTCTCTCTCTGGTATTTTACATGAGCAATAATTCCCTCTAACTCTACTCAAGCCTTCAGTAAAGTCAGTAAAACTTAAATGTTGGTAGGTAGTGCTGTGAGGAATTAAGGTACAAGGCAGTATATGAACATGTGGCTATTTCTTCATCATTCCCCCAAATGAGGCCAGCAACACAGAAACCACACTGAATTGGAGTGTCTGTCCAAGATTCTCAGTAACAGCCACAAAACAAGAGAACCGCAGCTACTCAAATGTCAACAAGGAGACAAAACAACCAACAAGAGGGAACATGAACTGACTTCAGAAGAATACAAGTATCCTAAACCCCTCAAAAATACTGGAGAGAGCTCTGAACTAATCATAGCATGTGGAACAGGAGCTGAACCACTTTTATTTGAATATTATAAGGCTGGAAAATGTAAGGAAACAGAGGCAGAACACATCAGTGTTTCAACAGAAAGATAGTTCAAACTTCTTACTCCATCTATTCACTGTCTCCTTTTCACTAATTAACACACAGCAACAAACCTTCTCTATTCATCAGAAACTATTTATCTAAAGAATTGCATTCTGTCACCAACACTTTCAACCTTCCCCACAACCACTACCACCAGTAATTCCATAATACCTTCTAGTCATTCTTCCAATGGGTGAGTACTAAAAATCAAATAAATAAGAGTATAGAAAAGAAAATAAACTGGTATAGATATACTTTACAGTTGTCAGGAGCAAGTTGCTATAGGTGGCATCAAGTAGGTACTCTGGTAGCAGAGTGTTCTAATATGGTGGTATAATATTGTAAAAATATAACCGTACCTTTTTGGTCTTTCTTCTTGATACTTACCTAGTTATCCATTGATTCATTCATCTATCAATCTATTTCCCCACCTCCCTTCCACCTTACTCCCTTCTTCCTCCTCCCTCCCTCTCTCTCCATTCCTTTCCCTTTGCCCTTTGCCCCTAGTTTCTTTCTCTCTCTCTCTCTCTCTCCCCCCCCCCCCCCCACACACACACACACATGCCTACCTACTCTGGCCCATCATACTGGGCAACTAGATCTTGCAGTATTTGCCTTAAAGAAAAGATGATTCAACCAAAAGCAAAAAAAAAAAGTATTTGAGTTTCAAAAGCCAAGTGTTGGGTTAGGGAAAGAATTTGGACATAAACATATAATAGATTTTAGAAATATATAGATCAGAACAAAGCTTCCCATCCTAGGTCTAAGAAATATTTACCAATTTGTGAAGAAGAGGTATTTATTTATTTAATCCTCACCTGAGGACATTTTTCCATTTTTTGTTCAGATAGAGTGGGAGGGAATGAGAGAAAGAAACATCGAAGTAAAAGGGACACATAGAGTGGCTGCCACCCGCACGACCCAACCAGGGCCGGGGACAAACTTCAACTGAGGTACATGCCCTTAGTGGGAACCAAACCTGGGTCTCTCTGGACCGCAGGCCAACGCTCTAACCGCTGAGCCAAACCAGTCAGGGCAAGAAGAGGTCTTTAGATGGGGAAGCTGAGAGAACTTATTAGCTTCTATTGGATACTTAAAAAGGGGTTCTGTAACCTCTACATTCACCAGGCTAAGTCTCAGTACTGGGGATCACAGAAACAACAGATAGTTTGGGCAAACTAAGAGCAGAGTGGAATTGTGCCTTTTTCTTCAGTAGGGCTCAAGTAAGGTGACAAACCCTGAGGGGGGGGAAATGGCTGTGAAATATATCTAGATAGATGGGCTCTTAGACAGCTTCGGAGTTTCTCGTTTCAACACCGTGTGCAAATGAGCATGGTGGGATAAAATACAGAGAACCAGCGGATCTGAATGGGCCCTGATGACAGATACAAGGGACAACTCAACAGCAACCCATGTGGACCATTAACTGAATACCAGTTGAAATGATGAAAGTCTCAATGGCTCAGTGACTGAGAAACAAATGTCCCTCTCTACCACATGGTATTGAATTTAGATATAACCCCAGGAAAAAAGGAAAAATTCCCAGATTTACTAAGTTTTTCCATAACAGCAGAATCAAGGCATTATGATTTTTAAAAACTAAGATTTTTAAAACTATTTTAAGATATAAAATATTTGTGCATGTTTGAGTTTGTTCACTAAAATTACTCAGAATCATATATACTCTACAAAAACTAAGTACCAGAAAACCAGCAGAAGGGGCAGAAAGAAGATGCAACTATGCAAGGTGAAAATTTTAGAAACTGTTCAGTGACCTACCAAACAATTATAAATATGAAAAGAAGATTCAACCACTAAACCAAGGGAGGTAAATTAGGACCAAAGTCAATTTATCACCTAGTTTACTTAGTCTGCATAGTTCTTGATTTTTCAAATGATGTATATGGGAAGAAAATCTATATGATGCCTATAAAAAAAATACTATCAAACAAAGGAAAGGAAACAACATGAAAGATTAAAATGAACAGCCTATCTCTGAAAATGAACTCTACAGAATCCAGATGAAAAATTTCAGAAAACTACTCAATATTCTCAACAGAACCAAGACAATAAGGCCTCAACGAAAGAGGTAGATACAGTCATAAAGAAGGAATAGGCCACAGATATAATAAGGCAAATATTAAGAATTTTTTGGCCAGCCGGTGTGGCTCAGTGGTTGAGCATCAGCCCATGCACTAAGACATCACTGGTTCAATTCCCAGTCAGGGCACACACCCAAGTTGTGGGCCAAATCCCCAGTGCAGGGTATGCAGGAGGTGGCCAATCCATGTTCTCTCTCATCAATGTTTCTATCTCTCTCTCCCTCTCCTTTACTCTCTCTCTAAAAATCAATTAAAAAAAAAATATTTTTTTAAGAATTTTTTAAGGAAAAAAACCCTCTATGTGTCACATCAAGATATAATCTTTAGCTCATTTAAGAGATCACTGAGAAAAATGTTTAAGAGATTCTTCAAACCACCATCTGATCTCTGACTTTGCCTATAATTGAACACTGAAAAGACAATTTCTTCCACTCTTAACCCCCAACAAAAATAATAAATAAGAATAAATTTATAAAATCACAATGAACAAGAAAGATATTTACATTTTTTTGTCTTTTCTGCAGATCTGGTACAGGTTTCTTTCAGCAAATTGCATAAATGCCTTGTAGCATTATTCCTGGAACAAAGGAAACAGACTAAATTTAATCTGATTGCAAGCAAAATCATATATAAAAGTTATAAAACATTATTGTTACAATTTTTTTTTTATTCTCACCTGAGGACATATTTCCATTTTTTGTTCAGATAGAGTGGGAGTTAGAGAGAGGGAGAGAGAGAGAGAGAAACATCGACATGAAAGGGACACATCGAGTGGCTGCCACCCACACGACCCAACCAGGGCCAGGGACAAACTACAACCAAGGTACGTGCCTTTAGCGGGAACCGAACCCAGATCTCTCCAGACCGCAGGCCCACACTCTAACCTCTGAGCCAAACCAGACAGGGCTATTGTTACAATTTTTAAAGGAATTCTTAAACATTGTAGTGTGTATATATCACAAATTGTTCATAAATGGCTATATGAAGAAAAATGGGTTGATTATACTATTAGCAAAGCTGCCTCCCTTTTATAGTAAAAGGAATAAGCCCTGGCCGGTTTGGCTCAGCAGTTAGAGCATCAGCCTGTGGTCCAGAGAGACCCAGGTTCAGTTCCCACTAGGGTGTGTACCTCAGTTGCAGTTTGTCCCCGGCCCTGGTTGGTGGTGCAGGTGGCAGCCACTAGATGTGTCCCTTTCACGTCAATGTTTCTCTCTCTCTCCCTCCCACTCTATCTGAACAAAAAATGGAAAAATATCCTCGGGTGAGGATAAAAAAATAAATAAAGTAAAAGGAACAACTCAACAAATTTCTACGCAAGTAGCTATCAACAATAACCTTTCAGTAAACAGTTCCAGATTTGCCTAAGGAAAAAAAAATAAGAAGAAAGGGCTGGGCTTTTCACTTACTAATTACCCATAAATATCTAACTATCTTACCTTCAAAACATAAAATAGGTAATTTTCTGACTAGCCTTTCATTATGTGAATTATAATACCTCTGATCACCTCAACAGATGTCAAGAATGCATTTGACAAAATTCAACATTCATTTATGACAAAAAAAACCAACTCTCAATACAGTGGGTATAGAGAGATTGGTACCTCAACATAATAAAGGACATATATTACAAGCCTACATCTAATACCATACCCAAGGTGAAAAGCTGAAAGCTTTTCCTTTAAGATCAGAAACAAGACAAGGATGCCCACTTTCGCCACTTTTATTAAACATAGTATTAGAAGTCTCAGCAGTTAGGCAAGAAAAAGAAATAAAAAGGATCCAAATAGGAAAGGAACAGGTAAAACTGTCACTGTTTGCAGACAGCATGTTATTATATATAGAAAATCCTAAAGATTCCACCAAAAAACTGTTAGAATAAATGAACTCAATAAAGTTACAAGATACAAAATCGATATACAAAAATCAGTTGCATTTCTATACACTAATTAAGCAAAAATCCCATTTACAAATGCATCAAAAGGAATAAGATACTGCCCTGGCTGGTTTGGCTCAGTGGTTAGAGCATCAGCCTGCAGTCCGGAGAGACCCGGGTTCGGTTACTGCTAAGGGCACATACCTCAGTTGCAGTTTGTCCCCGGCCCTGTTTGAGTCGTGTCAGTGGCAACCACTCGATGTGTCCCTTTCACGTCGATGTTTCTCTCTCTCTCTCTCTCTCTCTCTCTCTCACTCACTCTATCTGAACAAAATACAAAATATCAAATATCAAATAATGTCCTCAGGTGAGGATTAAAAAACAAAAAGAAATAAGATACCTAGGAATAAATTTAACCAAGGAGGTGAAAGACCTATACACTGGAAACTTTAAGACATTGATTAAAGAAACTGAAGAAGCCCTGGCCAGTTTGGCTCAGCGGTTGGAGCGTCAGCCTGCGGTACAGAGAGACCCGGGTTCCCGCTAAGGGCACGTACCTCGGTTGCAGTTTGTCCCCGGCCCTGGTTGGTCGTGCGGGTGGCAGCCACTCGATGTGTCCCTTTCACATGGATGTTTCTCTCTCTCTCTCTTCCTCTCTCTCCTGCTCTATCTGAACAAAAAATGGAAAAATGTCCTCGGGTGAGGATAAAAAAAAGAAAAGAAAAGAAACTGAAGAAGCCCTGGCCGGTTTTGCTCAGCAGTTAGAGCGTCAGCCTGCGGTCCAGAGAGACCCGGGTTCAGTTCCCACTAAGGGCACGTACCTCGGTTGCAGTTTGTCCCCGGCCCTGGTTGGTCGTGCAGGTGGCAGCGACTAGATGTGTCCCTTTCATGTCGATGTTTCTCTCTCTCTCTCTCTCCTTCTTCCTCTCCCTCCCTCCCACTCTGTCTGAATAAAAAATGGAAAAATGTCCTCGGGTGAGAAGGAAGGAAGGAAGGAAGGAAGGAAGGAAGGAAGGAAGGAAGGAAGGGAGGGAGGGAGGGAGGGAGGGAGGGAGGGAGGGAGGGAGGGAGGGAGGGAGGGGAAAGAAGCTGAAGAAGACACCAATAAATATAAAAATATTCTATACTCATGGATTAGAAATAATATGTTTAAATGTCCATACTAGCCAAAGCAATCTAGAGATTCAGTGCAATCCCTATGAAAATTCCAATAGCGTTTTTCACAGAAATAGTACAATCATAAAATTTGTATGGAACCACAAAAGATCCTGAATAGCCAAAGCAATCTTGAGAAAGAATAACAAAGCTAAAGACATCACACTTCCTGATTTCAAACTATATTAAAAAGCTAGCCCTGGCCGGTTTGGCTCAGCAGTTAGAGCATTGGCCCATGGACCAGAGAGTCCTGGGTTTGGTTCCTGCTAAGGGCACATACCGTGGTTGCAGTTTGTCCCTGGTCCTGGTTGGAGTCGTGTGAGTGGCAGCCAGTCGATGTTGTCTCTCTCACATTGATGTTTCTCTTTCTCTCTTCCTCCCTCTCTCCCTCCCACTCTGTCTGAAGATAAACGGGGGAAAAAAAAAGTCCTCGGGTGAGGATACAAAAAAAAAAAACCTATAGTAATAAAAATAGTATGGTACTGACATAAAAACAGACACACAGATAAATGGGACAGAGTAGAGAGCCCAGTAATAAACCCAAGCATATATGGTCAATTCACTTATGACAAAGGAGTCAAGGATATACAAAGACAGCCTCTTTAATTAAAATACAACCTACTCCTTAGGCTTCAGACACCAGTCAAAAGGCCAGGTTGTTACCTGTAACCTCTGATCCACTGGCTATACATCAGAAGTTCCCAAGCCCTTTTCCTTAGGTTTGATTCATTTCCTAGAATGGCTCACAGAACTCAGAGAAACAATTTACTTACTAGATCACCAGTTTATTATACAAGTATTTAACTCAGGAACAGCCAGATGGAAAAGATACAGAGGGCAAGGTATCAGGAAAGGATGTGGAGCTTCCATGCTTTCTCCCCAAACCTCCTAGTGTTCACCAACTGGAAAGCTCTCCAAATAGTATCATTTGGGGGTTTTATGGAGGCTTCGTTACATTGTCATGACTGATTAAATCACTGGCGACTGATTCAACCTCCATGTCCTCTCCCTTCCCTAGAGGTGGTAGTAGGGGCAGAAGGACAGAAAGTTCCAAACCTCTAATCACCTGGCTGATTCTCCTGGCAGCCAGCCCCCTTCCTTGGTTAAGGTCCAAAGTCACCTCATTAGCATAATAAGAGACACCACTGTCACTCTCAACACTTAGGAAATTCCAATGAGTCAGGATCTAGCTTATAAGATACTATAAAAAATCAACTTCATACCCATATAAAAGTAACCAGTGAGTACCAAACATACAGTAGGCACACATTAGACTTCCTCTTTTCTCTCCCTTCCCACTATAATGAAACTTCATTCAGGCAGGGAAAAAAATTAAGGTGTAACATTGAAATTTTATCTAGGAAGTCACAGGCTGACTTTCAATTGGGCTAAAACAGTCCGTTGTAAAAGCATTTTTTTACTTAGCAACTTCACTGACAGGTGATAGATAGGCTTCTAGAACCATGTTTAGCAAGTTTAGCTTAAAGCAAGTAACGAATAAACAAGTTCAGCACTCCATGTAAACCCATACATTATATTCTAATTATTCAATATTTACTTGACAGTTGAATAAAATAACTAAATAGTATTTATATTAAATTCTGCATGATATAATCTGAATGAGGTGATAAATGCATAAAATAAGGCTTTTGCCTAGAACAAAGGAAAGGAAAAGTCAAAGATGATATTCTTAAGCCAAAGTAAATGGAAGAATTATTGTGCTACTGACAAAAATAGGAATCTGAAAGTGAGAATTCTCTTGGAACTAAGTAGAGCCCTATTTTGCAAATGCTGCACCTAAAACAACAGTCAAACAGAAAGGTAGACAATATACACAGGCAGTTGTGGATCCAGAATTATCAGGTAACTTCTTGAAACCAAGTAATGGTTTCTCCTCCTGTTTCAATGTTTAAAATTGAAACTTTATTAGCAGTCAATGACCACAGTTTGCCCAATGCAAGAATGTAAAAACAACACATCTTCATTTCTCCACAGCACCCACGTAGAATTCTACATATAAGTTAGTGCTTATAACAGGAAGTGCTCAATAATTTTTTGTAAATTATTTTAATAATAAATTTGGAAAAAACAAATTCATTAAATTATTACTTACTCTTTTATTAAATCTTTATTTTCTTGAATTCCTTCTTCTAATTTCAAACTTACTTTTTCATTTTCAAACTAATTTACAAAACAGAAGAATAGTTCATCACATTTTGCTTAACAAGATAAGAGTATAATAACAATCAGTGTAATATGCAATTACATGTGTAGTATACATCTGCTTAAAGAAGTGACTATAATTATAAATCTTTTAACATATAGTGTTTAAAATATCAAATACTTTTGCTATGTAAACAAAGCAAAAGCAGTATTTCTTTGCCAACATGCTATGATGGTCTATAAAAATTATTTTCTTTGAACACCAAAAAGTACTTTTCTGTCACAACTTACGGACTTCCCATGAGACAATGGGTCTCACTTTCATCAATCCAAAACCAAATTTGCTGAATCATCTCCGAAACAAAAAAGCCAACACTTTAATGCAATTATTATCTTCCCTAAATATTTTGAAATGATGTTTTATCTTCATTCTAACACAATGCTGCATTTTCTCAACATTTTCCTATCACTATGCCATAAAAATGGAAGCTAAAGTTTCAAATGTAAAGTTTTATCATAAATGTCATATTACAATATAATAAAAGATATTATATCAAATAAAACAATTTGATTTTTAAAAACCCCAATAAATTAGAATCATTAAATCAATCTTCATCTAAAGTAATTTATTATCTCCCTTATCATTTGCATTATTTTGTGCAACTTGTCCTCTGTGTTCATTCTGAAGTTGACATGCAACTAATATTAATGACACTTCAAAAGAGCACTGTCCTTAATATCTACATCACAGAAACAAGATAAATGCAACTTACCCTGAAATAATACTCTATTTTAAACAGTATTACAAGATTTACCATACTACATTTTCAATTCCAAATCTCCTTATACCTGTAGTTCCTGAATGGCTTTCCGCTGTGCTTCAATTATCTTTCTATTTTCTTGCAACTTATTTTCTTTCTGCTTCAGTTCAGATTCTACATTCACTTTCCACTTCTTAATCTTTTCAGCCTCCTTATACAATTTTGAATATAGTCTGCTCATTGGCTCTGAATTCTGTTAAAATAGGTTTTAAATGATTGTTAATTGTTCATAATTTTAGTATAACCAAACTACATCTACTTATTAAAAATATTCATGAGTAACAGTATCTTAATAGTTGAGACCAGCCCTGGCCGGTGTGGCTCAGTCATTAGAGCATCGATGGACCAAAGGGTCTCAGGTTCGATTCCCAGTCAAGGGCACAAACCTGGGTTATAGATTTGATCCCCCAGCCCTGGTGTGGGGGGTGGGGGGAATCTGGGAGGCAACCAATTGATGTCTGTCTGTCTGTCTGTCTCTCTCTCTCTCACTCTCCCTCCCTCCCTCCCTCACTACTGCCTTTCCACTCCCTCTAAAAAAATCAATGGAGCCCTGGCCAGTTGGACTCAGTGGTAGAGCATTGGCCTGCAGACCAATGAGTTGTGGGTTCAATTCCAGCCAAGGGCACACACCTCAGGTGTGGTTTGTCCCCAGCCCTGGCTGGGGTCCTGCAGGAGGCAACCAGTCGACATGTCCCTCTCACATCCATATTTCTCTCTCTCCCCCTTTCTCTACCTCCCACTCTATCTGAAGATAAATAGAAAAATATCCTCCGGTGAGGATTAAAAAAAAAAAAATCAATAGAATCCCAGCCGGTGTGGCTCAGTGGCTAAGTGTGGACCCCATGTACTGAGGTGTCACCAGTTCAATTCCTGGTCAGGGCACATGCCCAGGTTGTGGGCCAAATCCCCAATGTGAGGCACGCAGGAGGCGGTCAGCTGATATTTCTCTCATCGATGTTTCTAGCTCTCTCTCCCTCTCTCTTCCTTTCTCTAAAATCAATGAAGGAAAAAAAATTATTTTAATTAAACAAAAAGTTTTAAAAATCAATGAAAAAAATTCTCAATTAACAAAAAATAATAATTTGAGATCTCTCTCCTTAGTTTATGCCCTGACAGTATACTGAAAGCTACCTTAATTTTTTTGAACTCTTTTTTTTTTTTTATCCTCACCCGAGGACATTTTTCCATTTTTTGTTCATATAGAGTGGGAGGGAGGGAGAGGAAGAGAGAGAGAGAGAGAAATAATCGACATGAAAGGGGCACATCGAGTGGCTGCCACCCGCATGACCAACTAGGGCCGGGGACAAACTGCAACTGAGGTACGTGCCCTTAGCGGGAACCAAACCCGGGTCTCTCTGGACCGCAGGCCGATGCTCTAACCACTGAGCCAAACTGGCCAGGGCACTTTTTTGAACTCTTAAGTCAGTCCCAGTTACTTCACTTCACAAAGTTACTGGTCACTTGACTAAGTTTATACCTTGCCCAATAAAATCAAATAACTTCAATAGTTACCTAAGCCAAAAGTCAGAAATATTTTAGTCAATGAGAGAATCTGGTTGGTTAACAGCTAAAATAAATCACTCTACAAGAAATCTATAAATTTTAACAATGGTCTTAAAACATTTTGGTTATATAAACAGATTGAGAATTAACTAAAAAAAACATGAAGTTTAAAACATAATGACAATGTCCAGCCAGTGTGGATCAGTGGTTGAGCATAGACCCATGCACCAAGAGGTCGTGGTTCAATTCCTGGCCAGGGCACATACCCAGGCTGTGGACCCACTCCCCAGTGGGGGGCATGCAAGAGGCAGCCAATCGATGTTCTCTCTCATCAATGTTTCTATCTCTCTCTTCTTCTCTTGGTGCATGGGTCCATGCTCAACCACTGAGCCACACTGGCTAGGCAGGGCTTGGCAATTTTAAAAGAAAAATAAAGGGTATACTTTAAAAAAATAAAGGGGGGTATACTTTAAATCATTAACCAAATACTTCTTCTGAAGCTTCAAAAGAAAAATATATACAAATGATACTCTAATTACAAGAAATTTCATATGGATGGGAAATTTTCTGACCTCGAAATCAGAGTCTTTTAATCCTTCCTGGTAGTGACAACTGTCAGAATTATCAACCTAAAAAATGAGTAAATGTTTCCTGTAAGCAAATATTACTGATTAAAGTTTCTAAATAGTAGCAATTAAATACTGGAAACTAAAGAATTTTTTTTTTCTTTTTCAAGCAAGCAATTCAATACCTAAACAGATTATATCTGTAGGCACTATACTGACCTGTTCCAACATGGGCAAAAAGTTTACTTTTTGTAAAGTAGCATCTGCAAGATAAAAGACAACTGGTATTAAATATGCCAACACCTTAGTTTTATATTAAGCATTATATTTAGCTTTAATGTCAATGCTATCAATATAACATTTACGTTATATTTTCAATATCTAGCAATGTGTATTTTAAAAATGCTTCTATATGAGGTGATATATTGCTTTTCTAGTCTCCTACCTGAATCAATGTTTCCCCCATTTTTGGAGCGATTAGTCACTGCAAATGGAAAACAAGTGTCATCTTCAAAATCTTTGTTGAAACTCTAGAAACACAAAGAAGTTCTTAAACATACTGTTCCACTCTGATAACAAGCAGTGTAATATGTAATTACATATATAATATATACTTGCTTAAAGAAGTAACTATAATTGTAAATCCCTTAACATATATATAGAGTGTTTAAAACATCAAATGGCTCTGGTCGGTTTGGCTCAGCAGTTAGAGCATCGGCCTGCGGTCCAGAGAGACCCAGGTTGGGTTCCCGCTGAGGGCATGTACCTCGGCTGTAGTTTGTCCCCGGCCCTGGTTGGGTCGTGGCAGCCACTCGATGTGTCCCTTTCACGTTGATGTTTTCTCTCTCTCTTTCTCCCTCTCTCTCCCTCCCACTCTATCTGAGCAAAAAAAATGGAAAAATGTCCTCGGGTGAGGATTAAAAAAAAAAAGATAAAGCTAAACTATCAATTATGCAATACATGCTTTGTAAATATTCAAAAATAACATTAGCAATTTTAATTAGAATAGGATATTAGTTTTCTTCAATTTCATTATGATCTTTCTCTTGATGTAATTAAGGATTATCTTTATTATATAGTATTTTAATGTTACATTCTTGGCTAAAGAGACATAAAAATTTTTCTATGGTATGTAAAAATTTAAATATTGTTTCATTCCATCCAATATAAAGTTCAATATGAGAAATTTTTTTAATAATCTGGTAGGCAAAGCTTTGTTTCATCTGAGAAATTTGGTATAACTCTTCCTTGAGATAAGAACTCTACTATATAAATGAATTTCCCCTTTTATCCTGTTGACCAGGAAGTTCAGAGGCAAATTTTAAGGTCAGTCATACACTGATTTTTATGAGCATGTTGATATATTTATCCCAGTGTTCTTAATTTTCCTTGATCCTGATATTCTCCTAATTTACATTTTACTACATCATTGTATATCTTATAAGTTGTCTCTAATTATTTAAGGAAAGAGGAAGAATTAATTTAAGCAGGTTCCATTATGACTGCTGAGTCCTAAAGCCACAGTGATTATTTCTTTAAAAGAATGATGCCTACACACAGTAATGCTCACTAGTCATTGGAAGCAACGCTATGCAAAATTCTTGGATAAATCAGACATTGACTGAAAAGAAATACTTATAAAAATATCGTCACTAAGAAAGTATAACTTGCCTCAAGTTAAGAATAGTCCAATTCAAGACTTAAATGCAAATTTACCTTGAAGAAATGAGACTCTCCTCCCAAGGTCTGAGGTTTCACTGCAGACACCTGACTGCTGCTTGACCTCGGTGGTACAAACAACGTAAAGGGCTTCTGCTTTTCCATTCTCTCTCGCGGTCCGCACGACCTAGTGCCCAAAGCCGGGGAGGGGGCATATTTTACATTGTTTCATTAGTATTTTAAAAGGCGGTGTTGTACACCCAGTAGCCACCCAGGGGAACGGATGGGGCCTTGGCCCGGGACGACCTATTGCCACAAAGCCGGGGAGGGGGAGGGGGAATGTTTTACATTGTCTCATTAGTATTTTAAAAGGCGGTGTTTGTACACTCAGTGGCCACCCAGGGGAACGGGTGGGACCCGGGCTGCGGTGTGAGCCTACAGCGCCTCGCGCTGCGGTGGTCCAAGTAAACGCACCCCTGGCTTGTTCCCACTCCCCTCCCCCGCCGATGGCGTAGATCAGCGAGACACTCGAACAGGGCATCAGCTGCGACCCCCTGGAAAGAAAGTCCTCCCGTGCAGCAGCCCAGTTACGCTGCGCGAGGACCTCACTACTTTATGTTCTCAACCCAGAAGGCACCAGGCACGGCTGCCTGAGGAGGGAGGCGCAGTATCAAAACATGGCGCAGTATCAAAACATGGCGCAGTATCAAAACATGGCCCAGCTCCGGGTTCCTCCTCCACAAAGGAAGTCGCTACACCTGCCCGGTAATACCTTCAAAGTCCACAAGAACCGCCACCTGCCATCTAGGAGGGCAGCCAAAAGAACCCACGAGAGCTTCGGCCTCCGAACCTCAGAAAAGGCGGGAAACCGCTCCACGTGCGCGGCCAGCAGTTAACGGCTAAATAACCGCCGGCTAAATAACCGCCAGTAACCGTCAACCGCGAGCGTGCTGAGCGTGCACGACCCACATCTCGCGAGGTTTCCCCTTCGGGCGGTAGAAATTCCTTCCCAGATTGCGTTGCTGTTTGCAGTTCCCGGGCGTCTGCTGCTGTTAAAGAACGCTAGGAAAACTCTCAAGCGCTATGATAGCTGGGGGCTGAGAGTGAGAAATCAGTTTCTGTCCTCACGAGCTCAGTCTTAGGAAGGAAACAGATATGCGAACAGTTGTAGCCGCGTCTCATCATTGAAAAGTGGTCATTTTGCCGGAGTCGTAAGGACACAGGAACGTGGACTTCACAGAGGCTTGGAGAGGCGTTCAGGGGAGGCTTCGCGATGTGCTACACTTCTGTTATTGCTTCCATCGAGAATGAAAGGACGGACAGATGGCTAGACAGGGAGCAGGGGAAAGAGTATTCCCGGCAGAAGGAAGGTCGGCAGAGGCGCTGGGATTGTGGGAGAGATTCGCACAAGAGTGAGGGGGTCCAGTAAGTGTGGTGTAGGTTTTGAGGACAAAGTGGGAAGATGAGACTGCAGACTTGGAGAACAGATATGAAAGCCTCGCAAAGTCTTGGATTTTAGCCTTTATGAATGGGAATCGTGAAGAATGTTGAGCGGACAAGGTACGATCAAGTTCAGAGGAAATTTTATTGTATGAAAATGGTTTAGGCTTAGGAGACTGGAGTTAAAAATATAGTTTCAGCCCTGGCTGGTTTGGCTCAGCAGTTAGAGCATCAGCCCACCTCAACTGAAAAATATCCTTGGATGAGGGTTAACAAGTGTGTGTGTGTGTGTGTGTGTGTGTGTGTGTGTGTGTAGTTTCAATAACCTGGGTAAGGTGTGAGGACCTGAGCTAAGACAGTAGAAGTGGAGATGAAGAAAGAGGCGTCAAATATAAAAGATAGGAACTAAAGTGAATAGGATTTGATGATTTTTTTTTTTTTTTTTTTTTTTTTTTTTTTTTTTTTTTTATCCTCACCCGAGGATATTTTTCCATTTTTTTGTACAGATAGAGTGGGAGGGAGAGAGAGGAAGGAGAGAGAGAGAGAAACATCGATGTGAAAGGGACACATCGAGTAGCTGCCACCCGCACGACCAACCAGGGCCGGGGACAAACTGCAACCGAAGTACGTGCCCTTAGCGGGAACCGAACCCGGGTCTCTCTGGACCGCAGGCCGACGCTCTAACCGCTGAGCCAAACTGGCCAGGGCGGATTTGATGATTTTTTTAATAGTGAGCAGCGAAAGGAGAAAAGTCTAAGGTTACTACCTGGTTTCACTAGACTGAATAAATATTGTGGTGCTAAGTACCCAGATTTGAACACTAAGACGAGTTTCATTTTGGACACACTGACTGTGTTTTTTAACTTTCTGCATGTAGATATAATATGTGATGGCTTTCCAACGGACTTTAGTAATATTTTTAAATAACCCATTTTGTTTGTATAAATGTAATTTACCAGACATACTAGTTTATGGTAAAATTACAAAATTTTTGAGCTGGAAAGGATGATCAAGTGTTACTCATTTTACATTTTAAGAAAACTGAGTCTAGGTATCCTAAAAAAGATAAAATACTCCCTCCAAGAAATAATACCAAGAATATGCACAAGGTACCCCCTGGAGGCAATAAGTGATATGCTTAATAAAATCTTTTTAAGTTGAGGGTATATATTAAATATTTCAATTTTTTTTAAGTTTTACAGCAGTGAAAAATTCAACTATGGTCTTTTTTTATTGACAACCAAAATACTACTTCTAGTATTAACTTAATTTACAATGTTTTATTAATCTGCATCCAGTCTTTCAAACCAATAGTGCCACCATAGAATTTCTCACTTTCACATGAAATTTTTCTTTTTTTTTTTTTTTGTGTGTGTGGTACATGCCCTGAACTGAACCCGGGCCTCTCTGGTCAGCAGGCCAACGCTCAACTGCTGAGCCAAACCGGCCAGGGCTACATGAAATTTATTTTTAATGTATAACCATACTATTCTTTTCATTCCCATAAGAATGAAAATATTTGTGGAAAGATTTTAAGAATATTTTTTTCTACACAGGGTGTTGGGAAAAAAATATATAAAAATATTTTCTAGCCCTGGCCGGTTGCTCAGGGGTTAGAGCGTCAGCTTGAAGACTGAGGGTTGTGGGTTCAATTTCTGGTCAAAGTAGCTGGGTTGCAGGTTTGATCCCCAGCCCCGGTGGAGGGGCATTTGGTAGGCAACCAATTGATGTGTCTCTCTCACATTGATGTTTCGCTCTCTCTTCCTCGCACCTCCCTCCTTTCCACTCCATCTCTATCTAAAAATCAATGAAAAATATCCTCAGGTAAGGATTAACAAAAAAAAATATTTTTTTCCTACCAGAATGAGCAGTAAATTGTGCTAAATTTCTCAATATACATTAAAATGTTTTAGTGATTTGTCACTAATGTTTTCAGTATCATACCATCACAAATTTTTAAATTTGGGTTTATAAAAGATATCTTTTTAAAAGACATTAAGAAAAGGTAAGAGTTGAACAAAGCTGTTTTCCTCTTCAGTCATAAAATACTCTAACAGAAATAGGTTTAAAATGTTAATTCTTTACCCATCAATCCTGCATTGATTAATGAGGTTCATATACTGCTTTTATTCTGATTACATTGTTTCCACTAGATAGCCTTTGTCATGTCTATAAGAAATCTATGGCCCTGGCCGGTTTGGCTCAGCAGTTAGAGCGTCAGCCTGAAGTCCAAAGAGGCCCGGGTTCGGTTCCCGCTAAGGGCACGTATGGGCACGTACCTCGGTTGCAGTTTGTCCCCGGCCCTGGTTGGGTCGTGCAGGTGGCAACCACTCAATGTGTCCCTTTCACGTCGATGTTTCTCTCTCCCTCCCTCCCTCCCACTCTATCTGAACAAAAAATGGAAAAATGTCCTCGGGTGAGGATCAAAACAAACAAAAAAAGAAATCTATGTATTTTTCATTCAATTTTATACTAAATTAAAAAAGTAGTTTCTTCAGGTAAGAACTCTACTTAGCGTTATTCCCTTTTGAAGGAAACATGAAGTAACAATAACTGTTGCTTCTTTTGAGTTGAGTCTTGAAAAGAATCCTAGATGTCCCTCTAGTAGTGGTCCTATATTCCACAAAGTTTAGTGAGCCCTGATGGATGTCCATTTTATGGTGATATATTGGTAACATAGTAATGCTGTTTGTTTTTCAAATCAGTCATTCTATAATGATACAGTAAACAACCTAGATTTAGAAATTTTAAGACACACCACAACATTTTAGAGTTTCAGCAATGTGAATACAGATTCCATTTCTCAGAGTAAACTAGACAAATTGGGGTCATTTGTTTTCCAAGTGCTAAGTATTTCTGAATGGCTGTGATTGAGAGACCTCAGTTTGGTGAGCCTCCCTAAGAGCTGAGCAAAATGCTGTAGGTCTTCTGGATGATACATTTCTTTTTTTTTTTTTTTTAATCTTTATTGTTGGATGTAAAATGTATTACAGATGTTCCTCATTTTTTCCCCATTGACCCCCTCTTCCCCACTCCCGCCCCCCTCCCACCTTTTCCCACACTATTGTCTGTGTCCATTGGTTATGCATATAAGTTCTTTGGTTTATTTCTTCCCACCCCCCACCCCCAACCCCTTTCCCTTTGAGGTTTGTCAGTCTACCAATGAATTTGTACTTCTTAATCCCTTCACCTTTTTCACCCATTCTCCCAACCCCCCTCCCAACTGGCAACCAACAAAATGTTCTCTGTATCTATGAGAATGTTTCTGTTCTACCTGTTCATTTTGTTTGTAGATTCCATTGTTGATAGATATGTATTCATTGCCATTTTGTTCATACCTTTTATCTTTTTCTTCAAAAAGACCCTTCATCATTTCATATAATAACGGTTTGGTAGTGATGAACTCCTTTAACTTTTTCTTGTCTGGGAAAGTTTTTATATGTCCATCGATTCTAAATGACAGCTTTGCAGGATAGAGTAATCTTGGTTGTAGGTTCTTGCTTTCCATCACTCTGAATATTTCTTGCCACTCCCTTCTGGCCTGCAAAGTTTCTTTTCAGAAATCAGCTGACAGCCTAATGGGAACTCCCTTGTAGTTAACTAGCTGCCTTTCTCTTGCTGCTTTTAAGATTCTCTCTTTGTCTTGAACCTTTTGCATTTTGATGATGATGTGTCTTGGTGTGGGCCTCTTGGGGTTCACCTTGTTTGGGACTCTCTGTGCTTCCTGGACTTGTATGTCTGTTTCCTTCACCAAGTTAGGAAAGTTTTCTGCCATTATTGTTTCAAACAGGTTTTCGATTTCTTGTTCTCGCTCTTCTCCTTCTGGCACCCCCAAGATGCGAATGTTGGCACGCTTGAGGTTGTCCCAGAGGCTCCTTACACTATCCTCATTTTGTTGGATTCTTTTTTCTTTTTGCTGTTCTGATTGGGCATTTTTTGCTTCCTTATATTCCAAATCGATGGTTTGCTCCTTGGATTTACGTACACTATTATTGAAGCTGTGTAAATTATTCTTTATTCAGTTAATGCCTCCTTCAATTCTAACTGTGTATCTATGATTTCTAACTGGTCCTTTTTTATGCTCTTGAGGCCCTCACTAAGTTCACTGAGGTTCTCACTAAGTTCATCGAGCATCCTTATAAGCAGTATTTTGAACTCAGTATCTGTGAGGTTGCTTATCTCCCTTTCGCTTAGTTCTTTTATTGGGGTTTTGTTCTGTTCTTTCATTTGGGACCTGTTTCTTTGTCTCCTCATTTTGGCTGCCTCCCTGTGTTTGTTTCAGTGTATTACTTAATGAGAGGTATGGGGCTGGCTGAGACCCAATGCTGCTCGTTTGAAAGAATTTAGGAAAAACCTGAAGCAGGATCCAAGACAGGCCAATCGTATGGTTAAGCAAGTGGCAACAGCTTGGGTGGGCTTGAAAGTTGGGTGGGGCAGGGCCTCAGGGAGTCACCAGGTGGGGCTACCAGTGTGAGCCAGGTTGCTGGAGTCCCAGATATGGAGACTGTCTGCCGCCCCCCGGGAAGGGCTCACCAAAGGAACAAAGGCCTCTGACAGCACATTTGTCCTGGAGAAAGCCCCCTCTCCAGCCCTCACTCCAATGCCAAACAGCTCAGTTCTTCCCTGTATGTCTCTGGCGCCCCTCAAGCTGCCTCCCCTCCAAGCTTAGAGGGAGTGAGTCCAAGTAAGTCCATGTGCGGGCTCTTTAAGGGGAGCTGCCTGGTGCTCCAGCCGCCTCAGCCTCCCTGAGCCTCAGTTTCCGCTGGTTTTCCAGCCAGAAGTTATGGGGATTCTCTTCCTGGCACTGGAACCCTGAGCGGGGTGCCTGGTGTGGGACGGGGACCCCTCAGTCCTCAGGGAGGACCTACCCAGCCGAGGTGTCCTCCTGATTTTTATCCGCCACACGTGGGTGTGGGATCAGCCCATCGAGGCGCCGCCGCCCCTCCAGCCGCCGCCGCCCCTCCAGCCGCCGCCCCTCCTACCAGTCTGGATGTGGCTGCTGCTTTAATTTCATAGTTGTAGGACTTCCATTCAGCTTGATTTCAGGAGGTTTTGAATGATGGTTGTTCTGTAGTTTAGTTGTAACTTTGATGTGGTTGTGGGAGGACTCGATACCGCATTTACCTATGCCGCCATCTTGACTGGAAGTCTAATCCAGATTTTACTGCTAAATGTTCTTTACCTGAAAAAAAACACAGTTGTTGCTGTAAGCAGAGTATATTCAGTATTAGTAATATTAAGCTCACTCGTTCTGTAGAAGTAAACGAGTGTGCCAATAAATTCTTCAACCATACCTAAAATTATTAATATCAAATGTAGTTTCATCAGAACATAGTGCAGACTCACATATATTGCCATTATCATTTTTTTCTCAAGGAAGTATAAGAAAATGAAACATTATATCTGACCAATCTTTTTCCATCTAATATTTTGTATTAATGTTATATTACCAGTCAGTGTAGTGGAAGGACAGTCTTTGTTGCCAGATGTTTCCATAAAATAAACAAATCTTCCATCACCACTATGATTGTGACAATTCAGTGAATGATCTGAATGATTTGATAATCTCATTGTACCTAGTAAAAGGGAAAAATATAAATTCTGATTTTTAAAAAATCTGTATACAAATCTGTATACAGATAATAAATGCAATCATTCTAAACTGTTACATAGGAAACATTCCCAATGAAAAGTAGCTTTATAACTTTTATTACTGAAACATAAAGCTAAATAAATAGTTCATATTTTATATAAAGATTATAAAATATCTTTTTTTCATGATGCTATATAATGCTTTAGAATGGCTTTCTTTAAAAAAAAAAAAAAGCAAAGCTAGATCAATAAATTGGAAAACTATAAACAGCTATTATAAAGTACTTAAACTCCTACATTAACTAGTAAAATTAAATATAATAAGAAAAACATCGTTCAATCTTATACATTTGTTGCTAAATTTAATAGTAACTATTAATATTGAGATCGAGTTAATTGGCCTTTTTTACTTTCAGGAGCTGATGAAAGATATTCTTTGTAAAGTTGGGTTACATGAAGGAACATCACTTCAGTTTTTGATCCCTTCTGTAATGCAGTCTGATCTTCATTGATCAAATTTTTAAATCCTTTAAGAAAAGATCACATGCCCTGGCCGGTTTGGCTCAGCGGTTAGAGCGTCGGCCTGCGGTCCGGAGAGACCCGGGTTCGGTTCCCGCTAAGGGCACGTACTTCGGTTGCAGTTTGTCCCCGGCCCTGGTTGGTCGTGCAGGTGGCAGCCACTCGATGTGTCCCTTCACGTCGATGTTTCTCTCTCTCTCCCTTCCTCTCTCTCCCTCCCACTCTATCTGTACAAAAAATGGAAAAGTATCCTCGGGTGAGGATAAAAAAAAAAAAAGAAAAGATCACATAATTGTTTGAAATAGATGATGAAAAGATCATTTTCAGGTATAGGATTTAATATTTTATATTAATTTTGTAGTTATGGTATAAATCTTAAATGTTAGAATAATCATGATATGTAATTTCAAATCTGAATAAAATTATTGATTTCACATGGCAATATTCTGGGGCACTTTTATCAGAACTGGATAATACTTTCCTATAGCAAGAACAAATTAAACATACTTTAGCCTTGCAGAATTTACTTTTACAGTGAGTTATTAGTACATGTAAATAGATAGCTAAGTTTTAGGCAACAGTGACTTGATTTATTTATGTTGGATAGCAAATTTTGTGTTTTGTATTTTATCTAAAAAATAAAATTTATTACCAAAAAGTAAAAATAAAATAAACATATAAACATTGATTGCCTTAAGTGTAAGTTTTTGAAATAATTTAAATAATATTTTAAAATATTTTTACTTTTACCCACCTGACTGATTAAAGCAGACAAAATAAACATGTTTTTGCATTTAGAAACAATTTTGGTGGGAAAAATAGAGGTTTTTATTTTCCTAAAATGTCTCCTTTTAAAACAAGGAACTTTTTAAAAATTGTATTAAATTTAACTTTTTTTCTAAAGATGAAGTGATTACCTGGGAGTCCCTTGGTAAAATCCATTAACCCCTGTATGTGTGGGACTACTGTCTCTGAGAGTAGCAAAACACTCAGTTCAGGATTTGCATATTCCTGCAGATAACCAACAAAAAGAAATAAAACTAATTTTATTTCCTTTCAAATAACAATTTAAATTTTAACCTTTATGGTTATGCTCTTATTTTCTAATATAATTAATTATAAATGATTTCTCACCAGCAATGAACCACATACACATTTCTGTGTTTCCTCTAAAGGAATTATATATTTTTGATGAGCAGCCACAATGTTTTTAACGAGCTGATGTTCCTCTTGAGTTAGTTCCATGCTCTCCTGGACCTGTAAGAAAACGCAGGGGGGAAACTATAATGCCTAGTTATTAAATGAGACGTTATCATTAAAGAAACAAATCTTGCCCTGGCCAGTTTGTCTCAGCGGTTAGAGCGTCGGCCTGCGGTCCAGAGAGACTTGGGTTCAGTTACCGCTAAGGGCGCATACCTCACTTGCAGTTTGTCCCTGGTCCTGGTTGGTGGTGCGGATGGCAGCCACTCGAAGTGTCCCTTTCACATCAATGTTTCTTTCTCTCTCTCTCTCTCTCTCTCTCTCTCTACCTCCCACTCTGTCTGAACAAAAAATGGAAAAATGTCCTCCGCTGAGGATTAAAAAAAAAAAAAAGAAACAAATCTTATAAGAAGAGTCTTGCCACTTTTCCAGATCTAGTGGTGGATGATACAAGCTTGTTGTCTACTTCTTCCTCTTTGATGTCAGAATGAAAACTGTTTTTCTGCTTAAAGTTCTTTAGAAGTTTATTTGATTTGCATTGAATTTCTATGAGCAAAACTGATATTACAAAATTTACATAAAATGTTTGTGTATTGCAAAGAACATTATAGAATTTGATGAAAATTATCTTACATTGTACAAATACATGATCATAGACTTCTCTTTTTACAAAGAATCTCTCTTGGCAAGTATATACACAACAATTAAATTTACTACATTACTTTCATCTTTTCTTTCCAGAATATCTGTCTACTTAAAAGTACATAATTGCCCTGGCTGGTTTGCCTCAGCGGTTAGAGCTTCAGCCCACAGACCAGAGTCTCAGATTCAGTTCCCGCTAAGGGCACATACCTTGGTTGCAGTTTGTCCCCAGTGTGGGTGGCAACCACTCAATGTGTCTCTCTCAAATCAATGTTTCTCTCTCTCTCCCTCCCTGTCTCCCTCCTACTCTATCTGAAGATAAGTGCAAAAGTAACTTTAAAATTATTTTTTCTCTATAGAGTGCTATGAAATTTTTCCATGTCTAATGTAGCCTTGTGAAAACTTTTATTCTCTTGTATTTATACTATTATATTAGTTTCATGGCCTTTTCTCCATTCTTTTTAGTTCAACCTGTCTTCAACTGCTATAATAATAATCAATTTTTATTGTTACACTCCTATTTAATAACACCAATGTAATATTCTGTTTATTTTATACTGCTTATTATAATCAAAGTCAAACTCTTGAGTCAAAGTTCTTCACCAAAATGGATTTCTTTTATTTAAAATTCCCAGGTTGGAGATCTTCAGGTTATCCTGTCCAATCAGATTGAATCCCATCCTGTGTCCCTTTCTTAGTCTGCTTGGGCTGCCATAACAAAATACCATTGTCTTGTCTTATAAGGAAAAAACTGACTTAGCCTATTAAAAAGAAAATCAAAAGATATTCTCTTGGCCAATCAAGGATAAACGCCCATATATAAGGTAATTCAACTGCTGTACCAATTGACATTCTATGTTCCTTCTAAGATATAATTAATGTGGAAATTAATATAAAGAGGTCTAAATTTATAATCTGGAGATGCAAAATTAATATTTTTTTAAAAATACTTTTTCTTGCCCTGGCCAGTTTAGCTCAGCGGTTAGAGCGTCAGCCCACAGTCCAGAGAGACCTGGGTTTGGTTCCCGCTAAGGGCACGTTCCTCGGTTGCAGTTTGTCCCTGCCCCGGTTGGGGTCATGTGGGTGGCAGCCAGTCAATGTGTCTCTCTCACATCGATGTTTCTTTCTCTCTCTCTTCCTCTCTCTCTCCCTCTCGTTCTATGCAAAAAATGTCCTTAGATGAGGATAAAAAAAAGAAAGGAAAAAATACTTTTTCTTTATTGACTTTGGAGAGAGAGGAATGGAGAGGGACATAGAAACATTTATGAGGGAGAACATCTATTGGACCGCCTCCTGCATGTCCCCCACTGGGGACTGGGCCCACAACCTGGGCATGTGTCCTGATCGGGAATCAAACCAGCGACCTCTTGGTGCATGGGTCGATGCTCAACCAGTGAGCTCTGGGAAATAGAAGGATTAAGGAAATAATGCCAAAATCTTAGTATTACCACTGTGAGGATCAAATGCTGTCATGTGGTTTATTAGTAAGCTAAAAACATAATGAACATAGAAGGGACTCAAAAACACTTAGGTACTCTTCTGCCTGGTGAGTTGGGCTTTGACCCCTATGGGTTCATTATTAGTAGGCTCTACATACCCAGGTATCATGCAACCTCCTGAAGAAATAAGACTGAAGAAGAAGAATTATTCATTTAAAATTCTGCTTATTCTAGATGCATTACATAACTTTAGGTTAAGTAATATGAAAAGAGGATTTCTGATTAAGAAAATATGATTATTACCAAAATTAGAGCAACATAGTATAGAACACGATTTATGAAAATAAGTACCTAGATTGATAACTGGCTATTCTAATTTAACAGATGTTAGAGAAATAGCTTAAATCCAGACAAATATGACTTCAAAAATCACAACTTGAAGAATGTATTTAGTTCTCAGTAAAAAAAACTAAAATGTCCTTCAAAAAAACAAACACCTACAAAGCCACTTACATTCTGCCAACATTCCTACTGCCTTACACTTTTTCAGTCTGCACCCTTGACATTTTCTACGCATGTACATGTCCATTTCACAGTGACCACTATATACTGCATTTTTTGTAATGCTATGTCGGAAAAAAACTAACAAAAAAATTTTACTATTAGATATTTTTACTTATTTTTATAAATATATATCTAAAAATAGAGTTAAATGATCAAGTTAACTAAATTTTTTCAGTGTTTTTGTCCCTCGGTAAGATTTGGTTTAATATCCATTTTTCTGGATAATTATTTTAATCCTCTCCTGTTTGATATATTCTATTTCAAGGTTGTTCCTTTCAATAATCAAATTGAAAATTAAATAGCTCTATCACATTAAGACAACTTTATTTTGCTATGGTTATATCACCTAAACACATTTTATAATTTTTTGATTTATTGATTTTAGAGAGAGGAAGGGTGATAGATAAAGAGATAGAAACATTGATTTATTATTCTACTCATTTATGTATTTATTGGTTGATTCTTGTATGTGCCCTGATCTGGGATCAAACTGAAACCTTGTCATATCAGGAAGATGTTCTAACCAACTGAGCTACCCATCCAGGGCCACATTTTGAAAACTATGTTGTACCAGAATATCACAATTCCATGAAGCATTTCTCAAGGTCCCTTTGGAAGAATATGCACTTATGGAAAATTAAACTATAAAGAAAACCCCTCTTTTTCTCTTCTCACATGTCTACCTTAACCCATAAAGGAAGAGATATTCTTCTAAACTTACTCCTTTATTTTAACACTTCCCAGATGAGAAAGTGTTGCTAGTGTATTTGTCTGAGATGTTGAATGAGCCATGTTTTGTGTCTGTGTGTGTATACTGGGGCAGGGTGGGGTTTCTACATTTTCTCTCACTTTCTGAATCCATGCATAGCAGTACCTCTTCCCATATAAATGTTTTTCTGCCATATAGATGTATTTAATTTTTTCTTCAAATGTGCCCTCATCAAAATGGAAACAACTGAATAAAAATTTTATTACATCTCATTTTCATGTTCTTGATCCCATAAATTGATCACCTGTAAACATATCAATAGTTATTCCTGCTTTTATTTTTCACACTGTAAAAAGTAAGCGTACATGCCTCAAAGTTCATGCCTCTTCAATAAACACGAGGATTTCAGTTTTAACTTTATCCTTGCCTTTGCAACCTTCACAAGTAAGTGCATTATGATATCCTGATGCTTATCACCACAAACTACACAGAGTTCTTTGTGTCCCTTAGCTCCCATGAAAGAATAAGTTAGTCTGGACCTTTGTATTCCAGGGTATTCTTCGGCATCGTGGACAACCACGTAAGTGGATTTATTCACTTCACAGGAACTAAGTCGACACTCTCCACCACTAAACCGTGGATCCAAGCTATAAGTGTTGAAATGACTTGGTAAAGATGAGGACTGTAGAGCTGGAGGAAACTGAACAGTAGAATACTGGCAATAAGTGATTCTTGAAAATCAGTGTCATGTAGCTGATAATTGATTTGTTCTGGCAAAATATCTAGTTATTTTAACATAAAAAACAAATGGCAAAAAGTCAAAATGTCATATTGTTTTCAATTTCAAAAGGTATTATGCTCAACAAACAATTTTAGTTCAATACATCCACTATATCCCAGGAACCTGCTGCTGCCCAGCATAAGGGGCAAGCAGTAACTGAATTGCAATGCATGACAAATGCTGCCATCAGAGGTATACAGAAGTTACTTAGGAGCTGGGAGAAGGGGTAACAGTTGCTAATGGCTTACATACCAATCCAGTCTCCCTCCTTCAGTAGAAATTAATATTTCCCAGTTTATAATGAAAGAACCTTTTCCCCATCCTCTGCATTTACATTATTGTGGATACAACTGTTCTTTTTTTTTGGTACATGCCCCTAGCGGGAACTGAACCTGAGACTATCTGGTCCGCAGGCCGACCCTCCAACCACTGAGCCAAACTGGCCAGGGCTGGATACAACTGTTCTTAAGTGAAATCAGTTCAGTAAAAAAAATGAATTAATAACTTATCCCACCCCTCCACCCAAGAAAAATAAAACTAAAATACAATTTTACCAATTATCTGGTATTAAAGAGAAAACCATAGGCCCAAAATGGAGTCACTTGTGCTAAAGCACATGACACCAAATCTAACTGCAGTTTCAACCTTCTCCAGAAATGTAATCTTAATAGGTCAGTCAGGATTTTTGGTCAGTACCAATGAGGTAATTTCTCATGGGAGCCCTTTCCATCCCCTGCCCCCAAAGGAAGTTGAGGCAATCTGCCTGATAAGACCCCTGGTTCCCCCTAAGGAATAATCTTTTCCTTTGCTAATAACTTTCTTGTCCCACCTAATTTCTGTCTATAAAAGCTTTCCATATTGAGGAGCTTCTTGGGGCTCCTCTCTACCTGCTAAATGGCAAGCTGCCCAATTCATGAATAGCTCAAAACCAATTTAGATCTTCAAATTTACTCAATTAAATTTTTTTGTTCTTTAACACTGGTTATTTCAAGCAAAACAAATGTCTGAACTCCCTATCTACATTAACCACCTTCCTCCTTTGGCATTTGTAGAACTGATTTAAGTTACCAGTTTCTTTTTTGTTTTGTCGAGCAATTCTAACTACCAATTATCTGTGGATAAATTCACCTACCTCACAGGATTACTGTAAGAATGAAATAAAATATAATATGCAAAAGTATATATAAAACATAGAATTATGCTTCATGAATATTATTTTTATTATTATTATAAGAACCTCCCAAACACCTACTTTCTGCTTTCAGGAGAATTACTGAATCTAAATGCAGAAAATTAGCTCCAAAAGGACCCAGGAATACTTAGTTGCCTTATGTCTGTAAGTGGTACTATCTGTACTTTCTCTGGTGGTGAATCACCAGGTGATTAGACGTACTCTTACCCTAAAAAATTCTACCAACAAGATCGGTAAACAGTATAATTTTTATTAATTCACATAAATCATTTGCAATCTTAGAACATCTAATCCAATGCAAAGTGTTGAACTAAATACTAATGACAGCCTGATATAAGAATAAAGATTTTCAGTTAAAACAATATAACTTCTTTTTTTTTTTTTTAAAGAAGGGCCTTTTTTGGATGAGTGTCTAGACTGCAGAATAAGGGTTGATGTTCCACTGGTATGGAAATGAAAGTTCAAACTGTAAAAGGAAACCACATTTAAAGTTAAATTGATATTATAGCTTTAGAAGAACATTCCTATTGTCTCCTGAATTCTGTTTTGCATTTCTTTCCCTTTGATAAAAATCTTAAGATTAAACTATTAAGTACATTGAATAGCTACTCTGAATTTAATTTACTAAATTACATGTAAACTAGATTCAGCTAACACCTAACAATAACTTCTACTTGCATGTTAATTCTGTTTTTAAAATTGAATACAATTTTATTTTTATTTTTTTTATCCTCACCTGAGGGCATTTTTGCATTTATCTTCAGATAGAGTGGGAGGGAGAGGGGGAGGAAGAGAGAGAGAGAAACATCAATGTGAGAGAGACACATCGAGTGGCTGCCACCCACATGACCCCAACCAGGGCCGGGGACAAACTGCAACTGAGGTACGTGCCCTTAGTGGGAACTGAACCCAGGCCTCTCTGGTCCATGGGCCGACGCTCTAACCGCTGACCCAAACTGGCCAGGGCAAAATTGAATACAATTTTAAACTATTGTGTTTTTTCTTCTTACTTACATTTAATTCTGGCTTACAACCTTTTAGTATTACTGATTTTTGAAATTAATTCTATTCTCTTGTAGGAAATAGAGTCTGTAGTTCATTTGTTAATAAAATAAAAAAAAACCTCCCTGGCCGGTTTGGCTCAGAGGTTAGAGCGTCCCAACTATGGACCAAAGAATCCTGGATTCAATTCTGGTCAAGGGCACGACCCTGGTTCGGGTCCAGTGAGAGGCAACCAATTGATGTTTCTCTCTCTCCCTCCCACTCTATCTTTATATAAATGGAAAAATATCCTTATGTGAGGATTAAAAATAAATAAAAATAATAAAGTTAAAATTAAAATTAAAAACCTTCTGTAATTAACCATAATTCCCAAAGAAAAAGTCTTAAATTTCATTACAGCTAGTTTACATGCAATTTAGTAAACATAGTTCAGAGTAGCTATTCAACATACTGAAGTGTTTAATTAAATTATGTGTTATTAACTATTTACTGTAGTCTTTTGGTTACATACCATAGTATTGTACCGGTTCAGCAAGACAGTACCCTTCAGATGCAGTGACATAAGTATTTGCTATTCTGTAGTCCAACTATCACTTCTTCATTAGTGAATGCTGAAATAGAACCTAAAGGAAATAAAAATTTTGTAGACTATTTGAAAGTATGATTATCAAATCAGTATAATTTGATAAAAGTAAAATACTGTTTCAAAAATAAAAAATGTATTAGAATTTATACATGAGAAGTTTATATTATACTTAAACTACAAAATATTGATTTTTTTCATATTTCTACACACCAAATTATTTAATTCTGCTCATTTCTTATAGCTCAGCTCTTTACAAATAATTAATCTTAGTAATAATCATTGTGGCTCTTTTTTAAAATTTTTTTTTTTATCCTCACTCGAGGATACTTTTTCACTTTTTGTGCAGATAGAGTAGGAGGGAGAGAGAGGAAGAAAGAGAGAAAAACATCGACGTGAAAGGGACATATCGAGTGGCTGCCACCCACACAGCCCAACCAGGGTCGGGGACAAATTGCAACCGTGGTACATGCCCTTAGCGGGAACCGAACCCGGGTCTCTCTGGACTGCAGGCTGATGCTCTAACCGCTGGGCAAAACCAGCCAGGGCTCATGGCTCTTGAAAGTGTTCCTAGCTTTGGAGTTAGGCTTCACACACTGCTTTCACATTTATTTATGGGTCATTGATTAAATCTCCCTGAACCTTGGTTTCTTCCTTTGTAGAAGAGAATAATAAAAACCCTCCTAGCAAAGTTGCTAGGAAAGTTTAATTAATGTATGTAAAATCTAACACAGTTCTTAACAACTAGTTCCCATAATCTTTATTTTAATAGTTTCAAGAGCTCAGTGTTCTATATTTAGATAAAGTAGGAAGAAAAAAGTTTTTTTTATGTAAAGGAAATTAAAGAGTAGGAAAAGAATAGGTTTCATAGCACTTTTATAATCTAAGTCCTTTGTAAATAATTATCTTTCATAGCACTGTGACATGTAAAACATTAAAACATTAATTTAAGGTGTGCTTGACTAATGAAAATACTTTGATTACTGAGAAAGTATTTTATATTTTAATAATAAAGCCTACAAATCATAAGCTGTTATGAAGGGAAAGTATTCAAATTCTAAGACTATCCCTTATGGGAAAAACTTTTTGCTATTTCCTAGAAAGGAACTCCAAAAATAATGCATCTTTGAATAGACTGAAACAGAAATTGTAAGTTATCAGAAGAAAGTAAAGGTCACTCGAGAATCCGTCATATTTTATAACTTTATTCTCTCTGTTACAAGATAAAGTTTGTTTTCACCTTTGAAAAGAACCAAAAGAAAATGGGTTTTAAATCATACCCAAAGATATACATTACAAACCTCTGAGATTGTACTGAAAAATATTTTAGAGATTAGTCATCAGAGAGATGCAAATTAAAACAACCATGAGATATCACCTCTCATCTGCCAGAATGGCTGCCATCAACAAATCAAACAACAATTACTGGCCAGGGTGTGGAGAAAAGGGGACTCTAGTACACTGCTGGTGGGAATGCAGACTGGTGCCGCCACTATGGAAAACAATATGGTGTTTCCTCAAAAAATTAAAAATTGATCTGCCATATATCCTAAGAAGCCTGAAACACCAATCAGAAAGAATATATGTACCCCTATGTTCATAGCAGCACTATTTACAATCGCTAAGATCTGGAAACAGTCCAAGTGTCCATCAATAGATGAGTGGATTAAAAAAAGCTGTGGTAGCCCTGGTCGATTTAGCTCAGCGGTTAGAGCGTTAGCCTGTGGTCCAGAGAGACCCAGGTTCGGTTTCTGCTAAGGGCATGTACCTCGGTTGCCATTTGTCCCCGGCCCTGGTTGGTTGTGTGGGTGGCATCCACTCGATGTGTCCCTTTCACATCGATGTTTCTCTTTCTTTTCCTCTCTCTCCCTCCCACTCTATCCGAATAAAAAGTGGAAAAATGTCCTCAGGTGAGGATTAAAAAAAGAAAGGAAAAAAAAAAGCTGTGGTAGTCCAGCTGGTGTGTCTCAGTGGTTGAGCATCCACCCATGCACCAAGAGGTCACTGGCTGATTCTGGTCAGGGCACGTGCCCAGGTTGTGGGCCCAATCCCCAGTGGGGAGCATGCAGGAGGCAGCCAATCAATGTTCTCTCTCTTTGATGTTTCTATCTTTCTCTCCCTCTCACTTCCTCTCTCTCTAAAATCAATAAATAAAAATTTTTAAAAAGTAATAAGTTAGCCCTGGCCAGTTTGGCTCAGCGGTTAGAGCGTCGGCCTGCGGTCCGGAGAAACCCGGGTTCAGTTCCCGCTAAGGGCACGTACTTCGGTTGCAGTTTGTCCCCGGCCCTGGTTGGTCGTGCGGGTGGCAGCCACTCGATGTGTCCCTTCACGTCGATGTTTCTCTCTCTCTCCCCCTTCCTCTCTCTCCCTCCCACTCTATCTGTACAAAAAATGGAAAAATATCCTCGGGTGAGGATAAAAATAAATAATAAATAAATAAATAAATAAATAAATAAATAAATAAATAAATAAATAAATAAAATTAAAAAAAAAAAAAAAAGTAATAAGTTAAAAAAAAAAAAAAGCTGTGGTCCAATGTAACACTATGCAGCTATAAGAAAGAGAAATCTCTTCTCCTTTGAAAGGACATGGAGGTACCTGGAGAGCATTATGCTAAGCAAAATAAGCCAATCAGAGAAAGACAAACATGATCTCACTTATTTGTGGAATATAATGAACAAAATAAGCTGATGAACAAAATAGACTCAGAGATGTAGAAAGGAGTACAGTTCACACTGACAGACCTCAGAGGAGGGGGGTTGGGGGGATGGATGAGATAAACCATAGAACTTATATGCATGTATGCGTAACCAATGGACATAGATAACAATGCTGGGGGGTGGGGGTGGGGAGGAGGGTATAATAGGGAGGGAAAAGGAGAAACATCTGTGACAAAAATAAATTAATAAAAATTGAAAAAAAAGAAAAGTACTTATTACTGATGTGATAGGTTTATGGCTAAGGTTTTAATATTCATGAAAATGATTCAAATAGTAGTACTTCTGGAATTTGTCTCTTTTATCACCTAATAGGATGGAGGTTCCTTTGGAAGCACTCTCCCACTCTTCTAACAGTAAAGCAGCAATCACATAGTGTTTGGATGGAACAGATGAAAAAAAGCAGCGCCCCCAAATAAATGCAATTTCAATATGAAGTTTTCCTTTAAAAGTGATGACTAAAATCAATAGTATCAGTCAGTATATACTTCTGTTTTTCTTGTATTACAACAGATCAACCAGTTCTACTATAAAATGAACTCTAAATCTATTCCTTTGGTCTGTGTGTTACTTTTTAGGGATAGTCCTCCTTAGTTCTTTCCAAACTTCCCTTTTAAGTCTCAATTAGATTCTGGAAAATTAAAAATGCATGTGAAAACTTGAAGTTGTTATTCACCTTACTTTTAAAATTGCTGCATTTACCATTAGGCTTCATAGAATATTAAATATCTGAAGACTACTGAAAATTAAAAGTATTTGGTATTGCTTAGATATAGACTTTGATGAGTAAAAGTACACTTGAGAAATAATATAGAACAAACCAGAGGTAGCACATTAACACAAAACTGGTAATATCCTGACAAATACCCACATAAGTATCTTATAATAATGCCACTGTCAGGGTTCATATTGTAAACACAATGTTCTAAAATAAATTCCTTTCAATACTAATAAATGCCTAAAAATATTTTGAAAGGAAATCTGTTTTTATCAGTTTATGGGATAGTGATATCCCAGGGAAAAATGGGACAAATAATAATAGTTACATTATTTTCTACATACAATTTTTTACTAATTATGCTTTTTTTTCAGACTTTTAAATGTTTAATAGAAGTATTAAAATTAGGTATGCATAGTAAAAACACTTTCAGAAATAGTGTTCATTAAATTAATTTTAAAACATTTAAATAAATAATAACAGAGGAGAGGAGTATGTAATTTTAAAAGGTTCTATCCTGTTAAAGTAAAAAGTTACAATGGGCCTGGAATGATTCTGTTTTGTTATCTTTCCTATGAAATATTTATTTAAAACAAAAATAACTTAGTTAAGAGAGAAGCTTTTATCAAGAGCATCAATTTAGCTTGGGCAAAGTCTATATATTTTATTTACCAAATATAACTTTATTTAAAAACTATATTTTTTTAAAGCTTATAATAGCTATTCTACTAAAAAGGTGCTTTATTGCATAAATGAAATTGCATCTCCTTTACCTTCACCATAAATTGTTCTTAATAAATCTTTATATGTCTAGAACTTTAATAGAAAAAACATTGATTCCTGAGAACTACATTTATGTTAGAATTTTTCAGTTTTTACATTTCTACTCTTGTAATGTCATTTGAATCATAAATAATGCAGTGCTCAAAATTGATAAAACTGAAAATTACATTGCTTCACAAGAAAACATTTTAATACTCATAATAGCCTCTACTAAAAAAATGAACAATATGCAATATGATGCATAATTATAAAAAGATATTTCATAGTAGGGCTTCTATGAGCCAAAATTCTCTGAGCTTATTGGAACCAAGGAAAATAAAAAGAATATACTTGAATAACAATATAATTTAAGGCTTCTTGGTTCCTTAATAAGAACCTTATCGTTTAACTTTAGAAAACGGGGAGAATTTTACACAGTGAAGTCTTCGCAGAGTTTTATTATACGGCTTTATTGGAATATAATTTACATGATATAAAATTTATTCTTTTAAAGTGTACAAATCAATGATTTTTAGAATATTCACAAAGTATACAACTATCACCACCATTTAATGTTACAGTATTTCCACTACCACAAAATGAAATCCCAAACCCATAAGCAGTCACTTCCCATGCCCTTCCAACATCCCCAATCTCTGGCAATCACTAGTCAATTTTCTACTTCTATGGGTTTGCCTAGAAATGGAATCATACAATACCATATATAGTTTTAATGAAAAAGCACTCAATATTATGTCAAGTTATTTTCACAGCTTAAGAAAGATCGAGAAAACAGAGTAAATATTTTTAAATTTATGACTATGAAATTAATATTTTATATACTTCAGAGATGTAGAAATATATTTTGTGTCTCCATAATTTGGAATAATATAACTATATCATCAATGTTCAATAAAGTATAATTTCTCAACTACATCATTATCAGAATATATTTCAAGTTGCTTTGAATTTACAATGTAACATGTTTCAAAATATAAAATATATTTAATCAATAAGTTCTTAATTTAAAAACAAGTTTCACTTTTCTTTTTCTTTTTTTTTTTTTTTTTGGTATGTGCCCCTAGCGGGAACCAAACCCAAGACTCTCTGGTCCGCAGGCCAACGCTCCAACTGCTGAGCCAAACCAGCCAGGGTACAAGTTTCACTTTTAAAATATAACAATGACTATCATTATTACATCGAATGTTAAGTCCAACTACAGTCTAAAATTGCCTTGTCATTCTATAGGAAAGAACTAAATTACTGTATAATTAATTTCTTTATTTTCAAGGAGAAAAAGCTTTTTATAGATTGACTATCGTAGTAACAACAATTGTCTTATTCACTTTGCAAAAATTAAATGATAGTGCAAACTAAAAATCTCAAAAAACCTCTTGTATTAACATCCTACATTTTAAAAATAGTTTAAATTGCCAATAAAATTAATAATCCATATTTAATTAAAATGGCATAAAATTATAAAATGTTCTTATTTTTGAAGACAACGTACTCACAGTTAAATGATATTACTGAGGATTGTCCTTTTCCACACAGAATGCATATATTTAGATTCAGCAATGACTTCAACTTTGTATATGGAACAAACTGAGCCTGCTCCCTGATTATCTGGGAGTAGACAAGCATTCTGCATACCCTTAGGCTCCAGACACTCTGCAGAGCAATGCTTCAGCCCAATTTCAGAGACACTTCCCACACAGTCCTCTCTTGGGTCAAAACAAGGGCAGTTACAAGCTGATATAAATAATAACCAGATCATCAGAGATAGAAGCCTTCAGGACCTTTAGGTCACATTCTCCCAGAGTTCCTTACTGTTTACTTTAATAAGTATTTTGTTTTCTTGATTGAATTTGACATTCTCCCATTTTGGTTACAAAACATTGGGCCTCTAAAAACTACTAAGTAATATACACAGGAAGGAAAACACCCTCATTAATTCAAATTCCACTAATACAGGTGCTATAACAATTTAACTTTTCATTAGCCACCAAAAAAGAATTTGTTAAAACCAATTAGATGTGTGAATAACAATTCAGTACAACGTGAGATGTGTATAAATCATCTAGTCCAACCCTCTCATTCTTTGGCCAAGAAAAACTGCAATACAAATAGAAACTACTCCTTGTTCAAGTTCTCATAGCTAGTTAGTAGCAGAGAGAAACCTGATGAAAATCCAAGCAATTGAACAGGATATATAAATAACTTCATTAGGATTTTTTTTTTAATGTCACACCAACAAAGTTTGTTGAGTACTAGGTTTATAATCTCAGCCCTTTAAGGCATTTCTAAAGACACAAAGTAACAAACACGTCCCACCACTAAACTCCTATTCTCCTGGTCCCACCTCCTCTGACTTTATGACTCATTTGTTTTATTTGACTCTAGGTTCTGGTCTCAGTCTTTTCTTTCACAGAACACAGCATAGCTTCAATATACATCTCTACATTTCCTGACACATCCAGTTTCTGACTTTGCAACTACTATATTAATGCTGAATTCTTCAAAGGTCCTCATCTACTACAGGGCAGAATTGATCAAATCTCCAAGTCATGTCACATGGAGTTTTGTTTACTTTTTTAAATAATAGGCCCTGTATCTGTGAATTTTAATCAATGAATCAAAGAATAATAATAACAGGATTATAATTTATTTCTGTTGATTCTAAAATATCCCAAAGCAGGCTCCAAAGTCATAAAAGAAATGATACTTTCCTGACAACCTTACATTAAAAAATACTTAATATTTTTATTTATTTTTTTTTTCTTTATTGATTTTAGGAAGGGAAAGGGAGAGAGAGATAGAAACAATGATGAGAGAGAACATCGATTGGATGCCTCCTGCATGCCCCCCATTAGGGATCTGACCCACAACCTGAGCATGTGTCCTGACCCACAATCAAACCGGCAACCTCTTGGTGCATGGGTCGATGCTCAACCCCTGCATGACACTGGCCAGGCAATACTTGATATTTTTAAAAAGAAATGCTTGCCCTGGCCAGTGCGGCTCCATTGATTGGAGCACTGTCCTGTACACCAAGGGGTGGTAAGTTTGATTCCTTGTCAGGGCACATGCAGGAAGCAGCCAATCAGTGTTTCTCTCTCACATCAATGTTTCTCTCTCTTTCTTCCTCCCTTTCTCCCTCAAAGATCAATAAAAAAATATATATATTTTTTTAAAGCAATGCTTAAGTTCTAAATATTTATCAAGGACATTTGTTTCTTAAGAGAACTTTTTTTTTAAGTTTTTTGTTTTTTCTGTTTATTGATTTTTAGAGAGAGATAGAAACATCAGTGGGAGAGAACATACACTGGCGGCCTCTACATGCCCCCCACTGGGGACCTGGCCCACAACCTGGGCATGTGCCCTGACTGGGATCCTGGCACATGGGTCGAAACTGAACCACTGAGCCACACTGGCCAGGCAAGAGACCATATTTTTCAAAGAACTTCAGCCCTTTCATTATTAGTATACAGGGAGAGTGCACGCAACTCCCTTTCTGCCTCCACTGCCGCCATGGCTCCTGTGAAAAGCTTGTGGCGAAGGGAGGCAAAAAAAAAGAAGCAGATTTTAAAGTTTACCCTCGACTGCACCCACCCTGTAGAAGATGGAATCACGGATGCTGCCAATTTCGAGCAGTTTCTTCAGGAGAGAATCAAAGTGAACGGAAAAGCTGGGAATCTCGGCGGAGGGGTTGTAACCATTGAAAGAAGCAAGAGAGACTTCCGGTCAAGATGGCGGGTAGGTAAACGGGTATGTCCTCCCACAACCACATCAAAGTTACAACTAAACTACAGAACAACCATCATTCAAAACCGCCTGAAATCAAGCTGAATGGAAGTCCTACAACTACGGAGTTAAAGAAGCAGCCACATCGAGACTGGTTTGAAAACTATAAAGCGCTCTCCAAGGAAAAGGTATTTCATAGCTAATGAGGCACAGGAACAATTGCGCAGGTGATGACCAGGACAGGAGGACACTACCCACCACCTGTGAGCACAAGGAACAGGAGACCTTGGAAAACCAGTTAACTCAGCTCCCATCTCAGCAGAAGACCAAGCCCTGTGTTCAGGCCTGATGGCTGGTCCTGCCTAAAAGGCCTCCACAAAGGAGACCGCATCCAGGCTCACCACACTCACCCTGCTTATGAGACCTCCAGACCCTGGAAACCAGGAGAGGCTGGTGGCCACCTGGGCTTTCCCTCTGCGGGCAGGATGCTTCTTTCTTCTGCATTGCATTCACTTGGTGGCTTCCAAAATGAAGCCATGTGGTTTGATGGCAGATCTCTGGGGGGTGAGGGGGGATGCCGCCCTTTAATTGTCCTCACGACTGTTCTGAAAATAGTCCTTTTTATTCAAAGCTTAATTCAGTTAATGTTCCCAATAAAAATGAATAATCTAAAGCGTAAAAAAAAAAAGAAAGAAAGAAAGAAAGAAGCAAGAGTAAGATCACTGTAACGTCTGAGGTGCTTTTTTCCAAAAGGTACTTGAAATATCTCACCAAGCCCTGGCCGGTTTGGCTCAGTGGTTAGAACGTTGGCCTGCGGTCCGGAGAGACCCGGGTTCGGTTCCCGCTAAGGGCACATACTTCGGTTGCAGTTTGTCCCCGGCCCTGGTTGGTCGTGTGGGTGGCAGCCACTCGATGTGTCCCTTCACGTCGATGTTTCTCTCTCTCTCTCTCTCTCTCTCTCTCTCTCTCTCTCTCTCCCTCCCACTCTATCTGCACAAAAATTGGAAAAATGTCCTCGGGTGAGGATAAAAAAAAAAAAAAAGAAATATCTCACCAAAAAAATATTTGAAGAAGAATAACCTACGTGACTGGTTGTCTGTAGTCGCCAAGAGCAAAGAGAATTGCGAATTGCGTTACTTCCAGATAAACCAGGATGAAGAGGAGGAGGACGAGGATTAAAGCTCATTTGTCTGGCACATTTTGTATGAGTTCTTGAATAAAACGTGGGAACTGAAAAAAAAATAAGTATACAGGGATAATTTATAAATTAATTTTATTATTAGATAATTCCCAAGTTTAACCTCTACTTATATATAAGCAGAATTACATGTTTCTGTATTCAAATGATATATCTTCAAATGTGCAATGATTAAAAATTTTTACTAGTTCACCCTGACCAGTTTGCTCAGAAGTTAGAAGCATGGGCCTGAGGACTGAAGGGTTGTGGGTTCGATTCTCTATCAAGGACACGTACCTGAGTTGCAGGTTAGATCCCTGACCCCAGTCGGGGTCATGAGGGAGGCAACCAATCATTGTGTCTCTGTCACATTGATGTTTCTCTCTCTCTCTCTCTCTCTCTCTCCTTTTCTCCCTTCCACTGTATCTAAGAAAATCAGTGGAAAAGAGTCCTCGGGTGAGATTTAACAAAAATAAATAAATAAAAAGTTTCACTAATTCATATCATCTTGACCCTCATCCCCTCCATTTCACCCTGATGATCTCTGAGAAACTACAATTTATTGGCAATCAGCTTCCTTGTTTAGTTTTATAGTGAATAATTCATTCAGAACTTTAGGCTATAAATTTTTACATGTACTTCCCTGGTTTACCTGTAATACATTCTATTTGTGACATTAGCATACTACTCATTCCCAAGTACTTAAAGATATGTGCAAATATGAGTTAATTTTTTTTTTTTATCCTCACCTGAGGACATTTTTCCATTTTTTGTTCAGATAGAGTGGGAGGGAGGGAGAGAGAGAGAAACACCAACGTGAAAGGGACACATCGAGTGGCTGCCACCCGCACAACCCAACCAGGGCCAGGGACAAACTGCAACCGAAGTACATGCCCTTGGTGGGAACCAAACCTGGGTCTCTCCGGACCACAGGCCGACACTCTGATCGCTGAGCCAAACCGTCCAGGGCATATGTTAATATTTTTAAATGGGGAAAGCACTCTGAATGGTGTGGTTCAGTGGTTGAGCATTGACCCATGCACCAAGAGGTCACTGGTTTGATTCCTGGTCAGGGCACATGCCCAGGTTGTGGGCCAAATCCCCAGTGGGGGGCATGCAGGAGGGAGCCAATGGATGTTCTCTCTCATTGATGTTTCTATCTCTCTCTCACTTCCTCTCTCTCTAAAAGCAATAAAGAAAAAAAAATTTTTTTAAATAAAAGCTACTGCTGGTGAAGATGGCGGGTAGGTAAACGCGGTTATCGCATCCTCCTACAACTACATCAAAATTACAACTAAACTACAGAACAGCCATCATTCAAAACCACCTGAAATCATCCTGAATGGAAGTCCTACAACTACAGAATTAAAGCAGCAGCCACATCAGACTGGTAGGAGGGGTGGAGGCAGACAGGCTGGTCCCACACCCAGGTGGGGCAGATAAAAATCAGGAGGGCGCCTCGGCTGGGAAGGTCCTCCCTAGACTGAGGGGTCCCCGTCCCACACCAGGCGCTCTGCTTAGGGTTCCAGTGCCAGGAAGAGAAGTCCCCACAACTTCTGGCTGTAAAACTGAGGCTCAGGGAGGCTGAGGCGGCTGGAGCCCCAGGCATCTCCTCTTAAAGGGCCCGCACACAAACTTATAGGACTCACTCCCTCTAAGCTTGGAGGGGAGGAAGCTTGAGGGGCACCAGAGACATACAGGGAAGAACTGAGCTGTTTGGCACTGGAACAAGGACTGGAGAGGGGGCTATCTCTGGGACAAACGTGCTGTCAGAGGCCTTTGTTCCTTTGGTGAGCCCTTCCCTGGGGCGGCAGACAGCCGCCATAGCTGGGCCTCCAGCAACCTGGCTCACAGTGGTAGCCCGCCCTGGTGATTCCCTGAGGCCTTGCCCCACCCAACTTTCAGGCCTACCCAAGCTGTTGCCAATTGGTTAACTATTGGCCTGTCTTGGATGGTGCTTCAGGTTTTCCTAAATTCTTTCAAACAAGCAGCATCTGGTCTCATATAGCCCCATACCTCTCGTTAAGTAATAGAAACAAACACATGGAGGCGGCCAAAATGAGGAAACAAAGAAACAGCTCCCAAATGAAAGAACAGAACAAAACCCCAAGAAAGAAGCGAAATGGAGATAAGCAACCTAACAGATGCTGAGTTCAAAATACTGCTTATAAGGATGCTCAATGAACTTAGTGAGGGCCTCAAGAGCATAAAAAAGGAGCAGTCAGAAATGAAGGATGCACAGTCAGAAATGAAGGAGGCACTAACTAAAATAAAGAATAATTTACACAGATTCAATAGTAGAGTAGGTAAAGCCAAGAAGCAAACAAGCGATTTGGAATACAAGGAAGCAAAAAACACCCAATCAGAACAACAAAAAGAAAAAGAATCCAAAAATATGAGGATAGTGGAAGGAGCCTCTGGGACAACTTCAAGCATGCCAACATTCGCATCTTGGGGGTGCCAGAAGGAGAAGAGAGAGAACAAGAAATCGAAAACCTATTTGAAACAATAATGGCAGAAAACTTCCCTAACTTGGTGAAGGAAACAGATGTACAGGTCCTGGAAGCACAGAGAGTCCCAAACAAGATGAACCTCAAGAGGCCCACACCAAGACACATCATCATCAAAATGCAAAAGGTTCGAAACAAAGAGAGAATCTTAAAAGCAGCAAGAGAAAAGCAGTTAGTTACTTACAAGGGAGTTCCCATTAGACTGTCAGCTGATTTCTCAAAAGAAACTTTGCAGGCCAGAGGGGAGTGGCAAGAAATATTCAGAGTGATGAAAAGCAAGAACCTACTGTAAGAACGAGGTGGTGCTGAGTAACCAGAAGAGTGCAGGTTTATTGAGGGAAAGACCTGTCAGGCTACCTCTAAGGAGAAAATAGCAACCGGCTCGTCCAGACTAAGGATTTTTAAACTTAGGGCTGAGGTGGGTAGTCCTTCAGCTACCCACCCCAGCCCTAAGTTGGTCAGTGCTGGGGTCTCCTGAAACTTGTTTTTCTTGTCGAGCAACCGTTTGCAGTTTTGGGTGGGTTACGGTAGTTCTGTCATTCCGTTCCTCCTGACTGGAGTGATGGGTTTTGGTTTCCTGGAATGAGAGGCTTAGGGCAAGGTTAAACGATAAGAGGCTTGGGGCAGTAATATGAAAGTTAGAGCTAACACCTATAACCAAGATTACTCTGTCCTGCAAAGCTGTCATTTAAAATTGATGGCCATATAAAGAGTTTCCCAGATATGAAAAAAACTAAAGAAGTTCATCACCACCAAACCGTTATTATATAAAATGTTTGAAGGGTCTTCTTGAAGAAAAAGATAAAAAATATGAACAAACAAAATGGCAATGAATACATATCTATCAACAGTTGAATCTACAAACAAAATGAACAAGCAGAACAGAAACATTCTCATAGATACAGAGAACATTTTGTTGTTGCCAGATGGGAGGGGGGATGGGGTGAAAAAGGTGAAGGGATTAAGAAGTACAAATTGGTTTCTAGACTGACAAACCTCAAATGGATGGGAGGTTTGGGGGTGGGATGAAATAAACCAAAGAACTTATATGCATATATGCATAACCAATGGACACAGACAACAGTGTGGAAAAAGGCAGGAGGGGGGCAGGAGTGGGCGGAGGGGGTTAATGGGGGAAAAGTGAGGAACATCTGTAGTACATTCAACAATAAAGATATGATTAAAAAATAAATAAATAAATAAAAGCAGGCAGAAAATTTAAATGTAAAATAAAATGGAGAAAGCCGGTAACTTCTGGCTTTGAAAACCAATGGTAACTGAGGCTGAGGGAGGCTGAAGCTGCTGGAGCCCCAGGCAGTTCATCTTAAAGGGCCGGCCCACATACTTACTCAGACTCACTTCCTCCAGGCTCCAGCCTAGGGGAGGCAGTTTGAAAGACACCAGAGACATTAGGGGAAGATCTGAGTTATTTGGCATCAGGAGGAGGGCTAGAGAGGCAACTTTCTCCCAGAGAGGCGTGCTGGTGGAGGCCATTGTTCCTTTGGTGAGCCTTTCTCTCACAACGGCAGCAAACAGGTGCCATATCTGGGACTCCAGCATACCTGGCTCACTGTTTTCCCCATCCTGGTGATTCCCTGAGGCCCTGCCCTACCCAACTTTCAGGCCCACCCAAGCTGTTCCAGTGGCTTTATTATAGGAATGGCCTGCTTGGCTCCTGTTTCAGATTTTCTTAAATGCTCTCAAACAAGCAGTATCTGGCCACAGCAAGCCCCATACCTCTCACTAAGTGGCCCCAGGCCCGGCACTAGGAGCAGCCAGCCTTGGTTCACAATTTGGCTTTACCTGGGCACTTCCAAGCCAGCACAAGAAGCACTCATCTGCAGTCCGCTCTGTAGGTTATGCCTTGTGGCCCCGGGTAGAACACAGGCAGTGGCTGACCTTGCCCCAGAACTAGCACACCCGGTTAACAGTGTCAGACCATGGTGAAGCACCACTACCCAACCACCTCTACAAGTGACACACTCAAGGAATGGACTCAGTAGGTACCAGAGCCCTGTTTGAAGTAAGTCTTGCTCTGTGTAGTGGCTCCCTGCACAACTGATCCTCCAAGGGAGTCAGAGGTGGGTGGATAGTGGGCACAGCCTGTCCTTGCAGCTGATCAGCCTGAGTAAAATCCTCTCATTGACATGCCAACAGCAATCAAGACTCAATTACAACAGAAGAATGTAAAGTCCACACTAGGGGTGCACCTGGAGGGTCCAACTGCGTGACCAGGAAGGCTATGCCACTGGACCCTATAAGACACCTACTACAATAGGTCACCCTAGGAAGCCCAGGAGACATAGCAACTCTACCTAATATATTAGAAACAAACATAGGGAGGCAGCCAAAATGAGGAGACAAAAAAAAATGTCCCAAATGAAAGAACAGAACAAAACTCCAGGAAAAGAACCAAATAAAATGGAGATAAGCAATCTAACAGATGCAGAGTTCTAAACACTGTTTATAAGAATGCTCAGTGAGCCCTGGCC